CCGTTTTTCAATACGTGATTAAAGTATGAGGTAAACGAAAATAAAATACAAAATATGAATATATATTGTGATCATCAGACGCTAAAAAGATCAATAATTACATACAAGCGAGAATATAGCTGATATATTTGATGGAATGCGTATTTTATTTTACTTATCCTAAAGCTCAAATAATGGTTGACTTGTTCTTGTGGACAGATTAACATATCTAACTAAGACATCATTGTCTATATCAGTGCTTGCGTGTATTGCTAAAGGGAACGAAAGCTCATAGACACATTGATTGATTTCTTTTTTCAATTTTTAAAATTATCAAAGCAGTATTGTAATTAGATATTTTCTGTTAGGAAATATGAATAGTAGAAAAATGAAATTAAGGTAATTAAAGTATTGAACATCAATACGCAAGACGCTACTTTCACATTCATTGTCCAGAGGCAATGGAATAAGTGTTTGGCAATTGTTTTGTTTACAGAGATTGGAAAACAAGATATACTTCTATTATCCACGCTAGCCGACCCAGATTAAAGCGTGCGAGCAGGTTACCTCTACTTTTTCACAGCCGATCAAACACATTGTACAGAGGTAGCCGGCCACTGCGTCTCTTACCCCACACATTCAAGGCAATACGGTGATCAGTCTAGGACAAACTTATGTTATTTTTCGACATGTTTAGAGTGAAAATTGAAAATAGATAAAACATAGATAACAGAAGCACCCTCCAGATATTGATTTTAGGTATGACCAAAGAAATAATGACGTCATGTATTAGATACAGCTTGTTGTCGAGGAAAATACCAATCATTTAAGACAATGGATCTTTATCGATTATAAAGCGGCATGTGCATCTAGCGACCAATATATAATTAGCAGCATTGAAAATATTCCAATAACAATGTTTTTTTTTTTACTTTAAACAGATGTTGAGATAGTGTCATTTTACAATAAAAACACTATTAAAACGAGTAGGCTTTACAATACTGATTAAAGGTAGAAAAAAGAAACAAAACATCGCATGAATCAATCTGTCTTCAAACCCAAAGGATACGTCCTTCTTCCAAACTGTTACTGCAGATTGATTCCGACACACAATTAAACATGTCATATTTCTACTCAGCAGCTGGTTATCACGTAAGTCAATCTTCTCCACACGATCCATACTGCTGGACACACAAGAGCCAGCTACTGATTTCCAATAGTAGTAACACAACACTAATTGAAACATGCTTGAACTGTCAGTCATCTGTAGTTTAGTAAGAAAAGACTTCGCTCAAATCAATGCTGACATAGTGATTACGAAACAAACAAGGTAACGCTGTTGTTAGCACATCAGCTCCCTATCGATTAGTTAGAAATACTGTTAGATTCTTAACTGGGGATAAACTATGTAAGAGTTATTATCATTGGAAACAAAATTATGTCAAAGACAAAATCCCTTCTTTTGTTTAATTGTATAATGTTATAAATATTGTTAAAATTGATCATTTGATCAAATAACGCGCGCGCGCGCGCGAGAGAGAGAGAGAGAGAGAGAGAGAGAGAGAGAGAGAGAGAGAGAGAGAGAGAGAGAGAATGATCGACATATTAACAGAATCTTTGTTCAACTCGGAACAGTTCAGAAACGTGTCAAATGTGGATAAAAGGATTGATATGACATCTTTTGATAGAGTTTAATGATAACAAGCATTTTCTCAAAAACACAGCAAGCTAATTACACCGTAATTATTCATAATGATCGTGCTGTGTTTTAAAACTCGGAATTGTTCAAATATTATTGTGTTTGAAAAGCGTGTGAAGTTTGATGAACATCTCTCAAAAAAATGAGCGCTGGGAATGAATTTCTAAAGATATGTTATAGTCACCTAGACCTTGATCCCATTAACCCTGAATCCCGAACTTTGCCAAGACCTACGTACGTACACAGACGGACAAACAAACAGACGGAAAGGGAAATTCAAATTGTAACATTCCCCTCCCTGTTTAAGAAGTTTATATTCTGTTGACAACATTTAAACGTGCCAATCGATGCAAGTGATGCTTCTTTTTCAAATGCGAACGAGATCAACAACAACGTCGAACAAATCTTATTTCTTAAAATACTGCTTTATCTTTTTTTCTTTTTGTTTATCACATAGAATATTTATTACAGTGAAAGAAGTTAGTGTCACTTTCAAATAACTGGATGTGTTTCATCGACAATAATTTGCCTGTTGGCCCCGTTGTTGTAAACATTATTTTGATTTCAGAACGTGACATTACTTTCCTGGATTGACCAAAATTAACATTGCGGAAATTGTGAATGGAACAGAAGACGCTTACTCTTCCGCTTCACCTGATAATTTTCTCCGTTAATTTTTTCACAAGTATCAATATAAATCGTTCATATACTGCAATTAATCTCAATAATTAATTGGTATTGATTCATATATTCATATATATCATAATCCAGTCAGTTACGTCAAAATTAATAAAAAATAAGGCAAAACAGCAAAAAAAGAAAGATTTACACGAAGTCTCATGAAAAAAGTTCGACAAGAATAAGACAAGGTGATTCGGAAGTTGACCGTGTTTTCATCGGAACATCACATTCAAATGTCCTACTGTTTGTATTATGAAAAAAAAATAAATGAAATAAAAAAAACCAATATGGCAACATCCCCATGATTCAGATTCAAATTCCTTAAAACTAGGACAAATACAAACAAAAATGTTTTACAAGGAGACTAATGAAGAAGTACAAGAAGAATAAGACCAGGTGTTCCGGAATATTAAGCATCTTCTGCTTCATCGACGACCGCCATGTAAACCATGGTCAATCAAAGTAGGTAATGTCACATCCTAAAATTAGAACAACGTATACAACAACGGAGCCAACAGGCAAACTAACGAGTATCAAATACGTGCAGCTTCATGTCGCACTAAGACATATAACATTTCGCAATGACATCAATATCGCGACCATAAAACTTCCCCATAATTTTAATCAACCTGCATCTTCTGAACCCTTGTGTTACGAGTCTTTCAGCCAGTTGATGACTTCTTTAACGAAAATCGTGATAATAGGAACAGGCCCTTGAACATCAACTGCCATATGTAAATAACATTGGCTGGAGATGGAAGGGTATTGCTACCAGAAATGGAAAATTCTCCACAGGAAAATTGAAATCATATAACTTTTTAATGCATGGATATCATAATGATAAAGATAAATGATTAAGCATACTTGGTAAGTAATAATTACGAACCTACCTTGCAATGCCATTTTAATAACTGAATAAAAACGTTTAACTATTCGACTCAAAGACTGAATTGGCGACTGAAACAATTTTTATGTGAACACTTTTTACATAATAAAAACGAAATGTCAATGAATATCACAACAAAATAAACCAGGTTGCTGAGCAGTCAGATCGCCGATTGTCATGTTTTAAAATCAAAGTGACTGTTAATTGACGAAGATATACATTCAAATATTGATGACAATTAGATAATAGTACATATCTACACTTGTCGTAGTCGTTCATAAGACAATGTGCATCAAATCAGTTCTTTGCTGTATGTCAACTGGTGTAATCTTCAGTGGTCATATTACTCAAACACACCATACCATATTTCTCGCAAGTACTGCTAGGCTTTTCCACCGACTCCGTGAAATGTGTAATTTATGTCTTAGAAAACGTTCAAAATAATATTTTATGTCCTTTATGAACTGCCTCCCTATCTATGCCTGGTTTATGGAAGTATGAAGTATGTATGTGTATTCCATATTGTGGTAATGCGGAACCGATACCGATGTTTTAGTACTATTACGGTAAAGTATACCACTGGAGGCTCCCAGCAGAACACCTCACTAGGGATCACTTTATACACACAACATCACCAAAGAGTATTAGATGTATACAACAGAATTCAAAAGTTTCAGAGTACATGAATGTATGCCATTCCAGTTACTAATAGATCATTCAAATATTGTACTATGAGTTCGTCCAACGAAAACCTTTTTCACATTGAATAAAACCATCAAGTGCATTACTTGCGCATTAAACTACGTATAATCTCATATAGTCTCTGATTTCCATCAACAATAATATTTGAATACATTAACCATTTCCTACATTTGTTAAACGGAGTAATTAAAATGTGTAAATGTACTGCCGTGGTATTTTTCAACATTGGGCGCCTGCAATGACAACGCGGCTGGAATTAGTCTTGCTACATCTGATCAACTCTACGGATTAAAGTGCGCAATATGTAACTTAGCTAAATGAAGAATGTACAAAAGGCACACAGGTGGATAACACCTTCACGTACGTTTTTAGAGCTAGATGCAGTAGAACGAAACAACGAAATAAACTGTGTCATATGTATTTATGGTGTTCAATATGTATATATTGTATGTAATTTGTCAGAATATTTTGTGCTTTTGTTAATTCAGAGCCATTGGAAGATGGTCAAAGACGAATAAGAAATTACATAACAAAAATATAATACATTGTTCAGGGACTTTCATGAATAGACAGTCTCGTGCTGATCACTCAAACTTGAACATCCGGTTTCATACAAGACATCTCTCTAGAGAACACACCTATATTTACATATATGTATTAGTCTTATTGTTAACCATGAGGAAAGAACAGAATAAATCGGTGATGACAACGGATAAATTTTCTCAACGTAATACTTTTAAATGACATCATCTAGTGTTATAAGCATAAAACACCCTTAGCAGCATAACCCACGTGTGTGTGGTGTTATGGTGGAAATAGGAGGAGTCTGAATAAAACGTTTTTCCTATTGGACAAATTACCACTCATTAGCTCTTCAATCAATTTTGACTTGTTACACAGCATATATAAACTGATGTGACGAACTAGACAGTAGCGACCAGCGCTCGAAAGAGTCTAATTACACCTCTTCGTTTATAAATATCGAAAAAGATACGCACTAGTATTGAAGATATTAGAAAGAAATAAGATAGGGGTTATACCTCTCAGCAGAAAATGAAGACCTTAGAGGAGACAATGAGGTCCTGGTTCACCGTCCAGCTCATTATCCTAACGATTCTTGCCTTCGCTAAAACCAGGTAGGTATATGTACTTTCGGTTATGTTTCAGTCAATCACATTTTAGGGTTTAAAGTACATATGCTTATGCCTTAAAATTTGGTAACGATATATATAGTACCAACGTAGTCTGATACCGGAGCTAGAAAGCACGAGATTTTTCCTCTCGTAAATGCCGATTAATTGGTGTTTATATAAGTTAAGTGCCATACAAATAGTCATTATATCACTAGGAATTATAAGCATGGTTTAATGAAGGATATTAACGGCTTGTTGATGAACCTATGCATCATTCCATTGAGTACATTATACCATGATTGAATCTAGATGGAACTTGATATGGGAAAACAGATCATGCAATGACATAGTCTTTGTATACGCTTGTCAAAAATGATGAACGTATTATAGTATGACGTCTTTTCTAGTAAGATTTTATATTGGTTTGGAGATCTCGTTCGGTTCTCAACCGATTTCCTCCGATTTGGTATGCAAAATTTTCCAAGGCACATCGATTCGACAGAAAAGAGTTGATGATCCTTGTTTTTTTCATACAGATAATCTATTTTTCAGTTTTCAAGCAAATATTCTTTGATATTCAATAAGTCCAATTACCATGACATGACTTATATTTTCCTTCACTTCAAGATTTTAGAGATGTGTCCATATGTGCAAACATGATTTCTAGTACATTCCCAGCCTTTATTCCTATACTTTCTCGGACAATTCCGTTTAAAAAAAAATATTGTTGGAAGGTATCTTAAAACGCGCTCGAGACATACGCTTTTACAACTATGAAGTATGACAAAAGGCGCAACGCTATGTGCCTTCGGTCATTGTTTCGGGGGACAGTCACGTAAATGTATATGACTTAACTTTACAAACGCGTGAAAGACCGTCTAATGAGATACTTGTAAAATTGTAAATTATAGTCTATAGAGCTGAATACTCAGATTTCCTGCAGTATTGTTTTCAAATTATCTGTATAAGTTAGGGATATTCATGTAACTGCAATATAGATATAACTTGTTTCGCAAGTGTTTTAAATAAATCATATTCATAGACGATAACATTTTTCGCATAACAAGAGAGGGGTGTTAGCATTGTCAGTGAGCGGTTTAGACAGAAACAAAGTTGAATAGACATTGGTGCAATGTTTTCAAATCAGTTTGAATCATACTTTTACTAAATGATCCGTAACCACTGTAGAGATGGAGTACGTTGTATGGGCGTCGTGTGCCAAACAATCCGCAACTAATTAAAAACCCACGATTAAAAGTGTGGTTTCTCATAAATGGCCCATTTTGTTGCGTGTTCACCGTCACAATTGTTCACAGGATATGAGTTCACCATTGCTTGTTTTCAGACAAGACCCAATTGTATCTCTGTGAAGGTAACATTATGTAGCATGCGTCGCAGATCAATAATTTTTAAGACACCAGCACATCACAATCGCGTCACCCGAATATAATACCGGGCGGGTTTCAGATTGGCCACCGTAATGATTTGTAACCAATAGAAGATGTTTTCGATGTACTTCTGAAACGCGTGTGATGCCCGTTACAAATAGTGTCACGTTTGAAATTGACCTTAAATCCCTTAATATCTTATAAAACCAACCAGGTTTATTCGGATTGATTAATCACTTTATTTGTACATGAATAATAAAGATTTCTAATGGAGATAATTAATTAATGGCAATTAAAAGTACTGTTAGTTTTCCTATTTGCTTGGTATATTCATCGTTAAAAACAGTAGAATATGTTCATGTCATATGTTCGTTAGCTTTTATAATTAAAACACAAATATAATCACGGACCCTTTGAATGAGGGTCTGTACAGCACAGTGACCTCGTTTATAATTCAATCTTATTCGTGATTTGGTATCACGCTATTTCTTTAGAATGAAAACGATCATACAACGGAAAACACAAATTATTTAACCACATTTAAAACACATACAAAAGAAAAAAGTTTAGGAATTGGTTGTATTTTATATAGAGACCACTGATGAATTTATCGATTTTCAACATGTCAAGTGTACTGATTGGTTCGATTAAAATATTAACATAGCATGTGAAACTGTTCGGGAAGTTACGAAAAATGAGCGGCCTTTGTTGTATCTGTATACCCCCCGAAGGTGAGACAAAATAATCTCAACTCAGGGAATTTTTTTATTGAAATTACCACACAAAAGATTGATAATTTGATGGTATATCTCTGGCAACATATGAATGAATCTTTAACGTTTAACGGTTAACCAACAACAAATGTACAGAACTGAAAATCCGATTCTGCTGAAAAAGAATACATTACTTTTTTGTTTTTCAGCAATGGCAACTTTTGTAACAAAACATTCACGAAAACAGTGACAAGAGAAGCCCTTTGTTCAGAGGCCATCAATTTGCTTTATGATCAGTATACTTTGACCTCGAAGTACGACAAAAAAGAGTTATACAGTTTTATAACTAGTAAGTATAATCCATGGTATAAGTGATATTTTGTATATATATGTTACATCCATCACTCTTAAAACTATTTACAGCATAGAATTTAAATCGAAAACAAAACATAGATCAGCGTTCCTCGATCCTGATGTTTAATCTACACTTCAAGGTGTACATGACAGATATGTTGCTGTACCTACAAAGAAGGTGTCCACTATCGCGATCCTTGTCTGCAGATATTATTACATTTACATTATACAAAAAGAACTAGACTCTCTTGATGTTGATGGAACTACACTTATACATCTACAATTTTGCAAAGAAATACTGGCTAACCATACTTCGGTATTGCAAATAGATTGCCTATCAATGATAAGGATGTGGACACCCTCTTGATATTGGACTCATAAATTTCACAAAAAACCTTTGTCAAATATACTAACTACCATTCTAAGCACTATTCAACCTGGACTACAGTGCTATTGTGATACCGTTTACTAAAGGGGTAGAATCAATAGTATGTGGATTCTAAATAGGTCGAAAGCTCTTTTGACCAGTCAGTCAATAACCTAAAATACTAATTTGAATGTTAAATCACTACAACATTATACCCTTTTCTAAACTGAAAGAACGAATTCATTCTCTTGTTTTGAGAACTTTATTTTTCACGAAAGGTAAATAGCGGTACAAATATATGGCTGGTATTGAAACGTATTTTTTATGAAACGTATTTTTTTATAAACCGTTATTTTTCATGAAACGTATTTTTTATGAAACGTTATTTTTTATGAAACGTATTATTTTATGAAACGTATTTTTTTATGAAACGTATTTTTTTACGAAACGTTATTTTTTATGTAACGTATTTTTTTCATGAAACGTTATTTTTTTATGAAACGTATTTTTTTATGAATCGTATTTTGTTATGAAGCGTATTTTTTTTATGAAACGTATTTTTTATGAAACGTACTTTTCATGAAACGTATTTTTTATGAAACGTATTTTTTTATGAAACGTATTTTTTTATGAAAATTATGTTGAAGCAGAAATAGTAAAAATGACCATCTATGTGCTAATTTGCTTTTTTTTCATACGAGGCTGAATTTATCGAAGAACCTATAAAAACAGGTCGTGAATACCTAGCCAAGTTGTTTAATGTAACTTTCAAATATATTGATCGTAAAATTTAATCAGCAATTCTCTCAAATTGCTTCCGCATTTATCGATATTTGAGCACGTTTCACGTTATTACGTCATATATTTACGTTACACCAGTCAGGTCATTCAGGTCACTACACAGTGCACTATTGACAAGACAAGAAAACAATTGACTCTTCTATATGATGTTTCCTGTATGATATGATTTGGAAAAAATTACAGCTGCCATTGCGTCATATTAGAGGAAAAAATATAATTGTTAAAACTGAATTGCGTTCTGTCACCAAAACAATATCGTACTAATACATTTTTGTTAATAACAAATTAGATTGTATTTCAACAGCGTGCTGATCCTAACTTGTTGAGTTTGAGATAGCAAAAGATGGGGAAAAAATCATAAATAGTATGTAACAACACGTTAAATGTATACATTTGAGAAATAATGCAGATCTAGATAAGTTAAGGCAGTGGAGTTGCCATCATAGAAACTCGGATTGTTTTCTAATGTAATATCTTACATTTGCAGATGATGACCAAACGGCTATGTGTTCCTTCGAAAAGTAAGTCTTCATATAATTTTGTTTTCCTTTCTTTTGATAACGGTATTTATAAAAATATTGTTAACTACACTAGTTGATGTCATTGCTACAATTCCAGGTCACAGAAAGAGTACAAAACAGTATGCTGTGACGGATGGCAAGAACCAGACTGTGAAGAGCGTAAGTTATATTTGATATTTAAATGAAGAAGGAAATTGTTTGTCTGCCCGTTATCAAATAATCATAATTTTGGAGAATTCTTTCCGTTTGAATTAAGAGTTTCATCATTTAGAATGGTTCAGAACTATATTATATGAATGCAGTTATAGTGTAATGCACATAAGTACAATGAATTGTCGATTTTATAGCCTATTACACGTTAGTTTCACCCTTTTCCTTTTATCTTTTTGTTTTGATACTTACGCTTTTCACTTTTTTTTGCGATTTCTTAAGTAGTAGCTCAACTATGCAAAACATAATGTGCTTGTTTACGAAAGGAGGTCTCCCTTTCGTATAATTCACAAGATTTCTATTCATTTCCTCTATATCTATAAAAAGGTGTTTATGTTAAGCAGTCTTTAACGACGTCCATGTGCAGTATATTTTCGTTTTTCTGAGATTTGACTGCTGTTAAAATAAAACAACAGAAAATATGGATGTTGTCTCCTTATCTTACCTTAATTGATTTCACAAAGAGTTTCAGTGTAATGTTTTTCTTTTATCTGTTATAGCTATATGTAATTCTACATGCTATATTCACGGAACTTGCGTCAACCCGTACATTTGTGAATGTGACGAAGGCTATGCTGGTTTTCTTTGCGAGGACGATGTTTCAGGTAAAGCGAGTTCGTCTACTTGTTCAAAAGCTACTGTATTGATGATATATTCATCGAATCCTAATCATTTGTATCGTCTTAGCATTATGCTGATGGTGCACGATTTTTTTCACCTTTGACTTTATCCACATTAAAACATTTTAATCCGTATTAACGTATGTCTTGTATGTTTATCTTATAACTTTGAGGGCAATAGTCAATTCTGTTTAAATTTGACAGTTAATCAATTACTTCATACAATGATTCATTAGATAACATTTTGTAAACTTGATCCAATGTCTCTGTTATTTAGGTTTATTTTGCAACAGTGATGTAAACTGCTTCTCTCCTTTCGTAGATTACGACTACGGTCAGGAAAAACAGTACTGTTATGGAACATCTACGTGTTATGGGCCGAAGGCTACCGGATTTAATCAGACTCGTGTGACAAAGGAAGAATGTTGTCGGACAGGTGGTAACAGTTGGGGTGCACAAACGAAACGCTGTGACAACTGTTCAGGTAATACAAATTCAGCATAATTGTATAATTAATTTATTCAAGTAGTTTATACTACATCTATGCATATTCACATAAAGTTGGCTATGATCCACCCGTATAATAAAAAAGTACGATGAAGTATCAACTAAAAGCAAATCACAAAGTAAATCATTAAACACTTTTTATAATATCTGTCGAAATTAGTGGACAGGGTCAATTGACTAAGAACTTGTAGGCACATGTTTTGTAGTTAAATAATATATGTACATCAGAATACCTGTAGCTAGCACTTTGAAAGTTATATTACAGGTGCCAAATTATACTATTGATATTTCATATTTTATATTTAAAACAACATTCCTTACAAGTATAATTACTCCTCACGTTAGGAGAATATGATTGAGTTAGGGACTAATTCAAACATTTATATGCCTTGTTAAAGCACATGTGGTCGCCATACACAACTTATTTGCAATCAAACACAATTAGCTGATCATTAATTACTGCCACGGTAATGGCGTTACGCTGCCGTTCCGTCAACGTTTATGATGACGTCAGAATGGTCATGTGACTGATAACATTTATGGAAGTTTAAAGAACGCTAATTGTTGGTAAACTTATATATATATTGGTTTCATCCATAACGTTTGTGTTAAATGAATAAACCTGATGATGTTGAATACTGTGTTGTATATCTCAATGAAATAATGGACAAATCGATGATATAGGACCTTATGCAAGTCTCTAATACCATCCATTCAAACTATGAAATTTGCTACGCATTGATGCAACGTTTGCGTCAAGCCAGCTTAAATTTTATGAAAAATACCGAAATATAGCATAAAATAAATATTATTTTTCGTAAAAGGAGTGCAAACGTATGAAATATATCCGATTTTCTGTTATGATTATGACTCGTAAATACGAGAAATTATTTGCATTAAACCTAAATATGTGTCCATTCTTACGCTAACAAAAGGTTGATCATTAGAGGGAAGGTGATGTAGTTGCAGTTGTTTCATTGTTCATCGGATAATTTTATATTATGCTTTTTTATCAACATTTATAATCAACAAATGACAAAAAGAATATGCTTTTATGATTTATGATAATATGATGTCTTGATTTAGATTTAAAAGTTAAACAGTTAAAAGGATGTTCTAAGATATAACTTCATCGTGAAATTACTTTGCTATTTCACAATATTTTCCCTTACTTTTTTGACAGCAACCAGTGGAGATATCATTAATCAAAATCATGATATCGGGTTCCGTTCATGTTTAAGTTTCGGTCGAACCTACTACAGAACTTTTGATGGCAGGCAATACTCATTTGGAGGAAGATGTACATATGTGTTAACTAGAGCACCGGGACATTTTCAAGTTGATTTACAACAAATTGACTGTGAATTGCCATCAACATGCAAAAAGGTAAGGATTTTATTCTACATATTAGATACGTCGATCAATGCTTCTAGCAATAAGACAGCTATTAAAAGGGAATCGAGTCTAGGTTTGACCACAATGAATACTGTTAAGAATACCCAATAAGTGCTGGAATAAAGCATTCACCACCTCGTAGACAACCTGCGATATAAGGGTATTGTTGGCACTAAATAGTTCGTAACTTAACACTTCGGTTCGTTGCTTAATGAAGGTGAATCAAACATAGTTGTTCAAGTTAACGATACACATCTTTTCAAAAATATCTTCACCACCCTATAGTATATCTATTTCGTTTTAAAAGAACTACAATGATCCTGTCAAAGATCAAATTCAGTGCTTCCATAGAGACGTCCCTCTCCCCAATTTGGGTATTACTCGAAAATGAGAGGATTATTTTCATCAAATCTCCCCTTGTACGCTAATAAATGGTTGACATTGAATAAAAAAGAATAAATATAAGGATAGAAAGAGGATGTAAACTGATGTTGTTACAGACTCCTACATTTTGTTCACATTGGTTCATTGCTGATCGGATAATTCTAACCTTTGTCTGCGCATCAACGTACTAATATTAAAAAAAGATAATAGTGCTTACAATCCTTTCTGTTCCATATTATTTTTTTAAACAACATAGGAAAAACCCGATATATAAACAGAATCTGAATTCAAACATGAATTCGACTGATTCTATTTAAGAAGAAATAACACTGAGACACTTGAAAAAGTCTACCGACGTGCAAAGAGATGCGAATAAAGTATCATGTATTACTTTAACAAATAATTTCTGAAATTGAAATTTAACGTATTAAGGATAATGCAGTTTCAGAAAAGCAACTGCATAAGTGAACTTGATTGATGGCTTTTGTTAAATAGATTAATGATTTACCCAGCCTAATGTTTAAAACTTTAGTGTCAAGATTGTATATCGGACATCTTCATAAGCAGCAGCCATAACAGGAATTGTCATAGATTGTAACCGATTGGTGTATCTTTAAAAATTTGGGACCTACCAATTTATTTTCTTAATATTTTAATTTGTAGAAAGTTATCGCAGTTGATAGCATGGGTAATACGATTGAAGTAGTGGACGGAGTGGTCAGTGTCAACGAAGAAATTGTTCAAGTGGAAGAAAAGATTCCGACACTCAGTCAGGGGCATGGTATGTGTCTATTGTTTCTCCTTTGGTACATGTATCTTACATGCTTGATCATTGTTTACCGTCATCATTCCATATGAAAAAGGGGCAAAATAAAAAAGATCCTTGGTTTTAATTTGATGATGATGATATATATACACATATGCTGTATATCTCTGCATATCACAAACAGATTTCATGTACTGAATAAAATACTAATTATTTTGATAATACAACTGCATGTAATCATAATTGATTAGACGCAAACGCACCGTACGGGTTTTGTTAGGTAGACGAGTAGTCATGATGTATTTAATACCGACGAGATATATGACAATTTATCATCACAAGATTATTCGAGCATGTAAAAGGAAGTATTACTAACATGCTGGGTTGCAGTTTGTAACAGGTAACGCCACCTCCTGCTCGATGAAACAGTCCAACTTGGGTTAATTTGACGGCAGTATAAGTAAACAACGCTATTCATGTTTGAATCAAGCTCGCGTTGTTGATTGGTTCTTGTTGTTAAAAACTTTGTCCGATCGAATATTTTTTTTTCATAAGGAGAATTACCTCGAATTCGTCAGGATAGTTACGAAAAAAAATGAATAATTTGTTGAACACGCGGCGTGGTCACCACTTCAACTTGAATACCGTTTTGCTTACTTTCATTGAGATGACAATTACACATTTTTTCAACCATATACGAGGAAAAGGAGTTTCTTTACGACGTGTTTATTGTAAAACATATATAACAACAAATTATAGGAAAACTGATTCTACAAGTTTAAGGTTTCCAGAGATAAATGTTGTATGTAAGGCCAATTTTCGGTTTAAAAGTATCACCTATCATTGGCAGTTTGTTTCTCTATCAAATGCTTACATCGCTTCTGATTCTCTACATATGCAAATGGTTTAACATCGTTTAGAAAGATTTGTCAAATCTCTCTTTATTCTTACGTGTCAGATACATTTATGATTTATAATTATACCCGATTAAGTATATACACTGTGACTACATAAATATTTGTGTTATGTACAATTGCAAATAATAAAGTACGTGTTGTTTTTAATCTTCAGTTTGCACTGTTCTGAAAAGTGGAGATTGGTTATGGATAACATTTGAGAAGTTGGGACTAAGCCTAAAAGTAGATAAAAAATCCACTGTTTATGTAACCCTTAAAAACAAAAATGCTCAGTTACTTCCGAATATTGAGGGATTATGTGGCAACGACAATGGCGATGGTAATGGTAAGTGTGCGTTTCTTAAAGCATTGTACTGACAGATCCAGTATTAATTATCACCGCATCAGAACAAGGTAATATTAGGATCCGATATAAGTTTCTAAAACGCAGAGACTGTTGAAATAATGAACTTTACACGAAGGGAACAGCTATTTTGAAGGAGGTATCCTCCAGAAGCATTTTATTGTGAAAGTCGTAGTTAATGGAATCTTGTCAGAAACCGCAAAATGGTATGTCTAGACAGTCTCTAGCCAGGCCAATAATTGAATACTCGTTTTAAAGGTTTGACAGATTGGTAATTATTCAGATACACCATTGTTGTAGATTTTCTGTAATTAGTAAAGTAATATGATCATGTCTTTTTTTCACGTAGATGACTTCGTTACTCAGTCCGGTGTTGCGACAACTAACCCGACGTCATTTGCAAACTCGTGGGTAAACGGAGACGAAAAGGTTTGATTTTTTCCTTATTTTGTGATTAATATAGAAATGACATATTTATTCACGAGATACCTAGTATTGGGGTTACTTTAAATATGCGATTAATTTGATTTTCTAAGAAATGCTTTTTGTGTTCAAATCTTATAGAAAATTTGTTAGAATATAAATATGTAAAAAACAAAATTATGGACACATTTTTCTTTCAAATTATCATAAATGTACCTGAGGTTTGTAGTAAGGAAATAATGCAATCATTTCTCAAGAATCGTCGATGCATTTCTATGTCATTTAATAATGGACCCAATTGCGCTTTGTTTCCTTTTCAGTGCCCCATAGCGGGATCTGTTCCTAATTCTTGCAAAGATGATGTAAGCAAAGCACGTGCAATGGAGGCATGTGGAATTATGAGATCAAGTGTGTTTGCTGAATGCCGAGCAAAAGTAAGTGTACAAGTAACATCTGCACGGCGATGTTATATAATTTTGCTGTCATTGTTTAAGTAACAAATTGTGAACATCGTTTAGAATATCAACAGGCAATAAACAACAAGGTGTCCTCCTTTCAATATTATGACATATTTATATATTACAACTCGATCGAATCATATGGTTTATGCATATTTCTCACAATGTTTTCATTTGATTGTGTATGGTCCAGTTGGTAACTTTACTGACTATATATTGTAATTTCCACGTTAAAATTACAAAGTAATCATTTATATTATATTGTTAATAATGTACTAGGTGCTCTGTTTAATTGATCGTATACTCATAGTTTGAATCATATGACAGGTTTCGTTTGATATAAAGTTAATAACTGATTTACGGTCCACTGACAGTTTTACAGCACAGAAATAGGCATTCATGAAGGAAAGAATAGACAATTTGAAATTTTGAAATTCTGCTGATGAGAAATAAAAATGCTGTATGCTAGGTCATAGTTTAAAAGTTTTATATGTAAAAAACTCGATTTTAACAAAAATTGTCGGAAGTAAACTTTTTCTTAGACAAAACATTAAAATTATTTGCGTCAAATAGAATCATTCAGTCTTGAAACTGAGTAACAACTTTCTCTTCTGTACCTTACATTAAAGTATATTTCACAAATAGACGATTGATTAAAACAATGGAAAATAATACGTCGGAAATATTTGAATACCATTTTAATAGATAATATCTAAATCTTATGTTCTCGTATGTTTCAATAATTGAAGATTTAGTATTGATTATAATGTGTGTATGACCTAGATTATTAAAATTTTCAAAAAAATGTTTGTTACAATTTATAATTGCTTTTCCATTTTTGTGGTTTCGTTATTGTACGTCTTGTTCTCATTCGGGAATAAGACATTATGTATCCGTGTCGACCAAAATTTACACTGTAGGAGCCTTCGATAAAGCACTTTTGAAGCTGTGACTATGTCAACATTTATTTTGTTTATATTTTGCCTTAGTTGAATTGAATTTAAATTTATGTTAGTAATTTTGTTGTTGTCTTCATGGTATAGATGGCTTACATCAGTTGGTACCAGATGTGTGTGAACGAATACTGTCAAGCAGATGACGATGAAAAGGAATCAGTACGTTGTGAACAACTTGGAGCGTTTGCTCAGGATTGTTCTATGCAAGGGGCAGTCATAAATTGGAGGAGTCAGGGTTTGTGTCGTAAGTATTATTTATGATATAATGCTTATTGCATAAAATTGTCCCAGTAATGATACACTTGGAAACATGCTGTTGAAGTGTAAGTGTAAAGCGTTTTCAATACCACTCCTATTGAATCTGGTAAGAACGAAAAATACGGTAAAACATCATATAGATATTTCCATGTAACAGCTTAACTGTTTCGTAAATAAACATTATGATTTGAATAGTTGTCCCCTAGTAAGAATTTAAAACATATATTGTATTTTCTCAGAAAAAAATGTCAACATGTCAACTTAGTCATAATCCAAAATACAATAAAAATACAAAATATGATCAAAAGGAATATTTTACAAGGAAGTAAAGTACAAGGAGAAAATAAGAAAAGGGGTTCGGGAAGAGTAAACGTCTTCTTCTTCATCGAAGAGTTGATAAAAAGCATCTGTTGTGTCTGATTGACATTTGATTTGTTGCAATGTGAGGAGAAACCGCTTGCTTCTAAAACAAGTAATAAAGCAACAATGTGTCCGAGTTTCTTATTTTCCATATAGATATAGATCTCTAGTTTCTAAACCATTTACCCTTTTACAACCCAAATTTCAAAAGGTAGTAACCAATTTAAAGCTTTAATATATTTCACATATTTAACATATTTCAAAGCAATTCATTTAAGCAGCGAGTGTATTATATATATTTTTTTTCATTTTTTATTTAAGTTTTTGTTTTTACTCCCCTGCCTGTGAAACCAGAGGGGACTATAGCATCTCCTGTCTGCCTAAATGTCCGAATGTTAGTTTCCAGACGATAAGTTGAGAAAAGATCATGAATTTGAATGAAATTTCATTTACTGTTAGGTTATGAAATAGAGTGGGATTGAGTTTGAGGTCGAAAGGTCAACTACAAATGTCATTGTTGCTGCAATAAATATTTTGGTTTTGGTTTGAAGATGATGACTTCAGAAAGGATTTATGGATATAGTTGAAATTTCATACATTGTTAGGTTATTATGTTATACAGAGTGAATTTGCGTTTGTGGTCAAAAGGTCAATTGAGATGGTCACTGTTACTAAAAACAGAGTTTTATGGTCATATTTTGGCTTCCAGAGGATAACTTGTCATAGGATTGAGAGTCAAATGAGAAGCAGTGAAGAATTTGAAACTCACTAGACATTTATCACCATTTTTAGGGCCATGCATTAAAGATGCGGGATGCAGTTTGTATAAATATCACCAGTAGTCAACAGAAAAATGTTTAAGGTCACTGTGTCCAAAAGTCAAAGTCAAGTTTTCATCTTTTCGTGTGTATGCTGACACTGTAAAATTAAATTTACCTTTAAAAGTCAGACACTAAGCCGGGTTTTTTCTGATATGTCAATGTTTTAGTTTGTTTTCTGATTATCACTTAATTGGATTAGAGCTGACGGACTTGATTAAAACTTCATACAGTATTTAGCACATGGGAGTGCATATACTTTTTGTCCGCGTAATTTTCTTGTATTTGCATCTTTCCTGTCAAGACACTGATTTTTGGAGCGAGTACTTTCAATTGTTAAAATGAGATATCTGTTAATTGTTATCAATTTCTATTCTGCGTAGAAACGTTAATTAACAGCAGGGGTAGCCTGCTAGCAAATTTGACAGGAAGATATTTGCAATTACATCTACTACCAACAACATTCGACATTGTTATATTAAAAGAAGCACTGTATTTTTATACGATATGGCAAATTCAGCAATAGGAAATGACTGCGTGTTTGAAAGGCCATGGTCGAAGGGCCAGCAATAACTTTGTGATAACAAAATACAGTGAGACAATAATTTGATTAAAATTACCATAATAATATAACTCAATACTAATGAAAGTTCATGCAGGTAAACTGTTAGTTTTATTTCATACAATTTCAGCAAAACAGTGTCCAGAAGGTCTGGTTTACAACGAATGTGGTTTATATTGTCCCAGAACATGCAACAATATATTCGTGGAGCTTTCCGATGCATGTTCAAAGGAGAAATCACAGTGCGTGTCCGGATGCGAATGTCCAAGTGGCAAAGTACTTGAAAACGGCAAATGTGTGTTTCCGTCAGAATGTAGTTGCACCAACAACCGCATGACCTACAGCCCTAATGCAACCATAAAAGTAGACTGTAACTCCTGGTAAGCCAATGTATCTTATTACCTTTTTAATTATCGTTATTGGTACATCTGTGGGTCAAATATAATTTAGAGTACAATCTTTGCCCATATTGGTAATTTCCTCAACTATTATTCAGATTATTCTTTGGAAATTTACAACGTGTGGTTTCACGTTCAATTGTTTATAATCTAAATATCATTCTGTTATTCTTATTATTAAATAATTATTATACTCATCTTCAAAGTTAATATTTTTCGTTTAGTTGTGTTGCACTGCTATATGTCTGAAACCTTGAGTACCACTGTCAATCCTACTATTAATCTTAGCGAGTAGCGTTATTTCATTTCAATAAAAATCCAATGTTACAACATATGAATGTTTATGACCTCAGAGCTAACACTTCGACTAGCCATTGTTCTAACTTTCCTTACAACTATGGTCTAGCCGGGCACATATTAGTTGGCGCGATTTATGCATATTCTCAAAGATTAAGCTGCAAGATATTTTCTTGGGGAATTAAAATACCGTGAAACCTAATCATTTAATCGGAATGTGAAAATGGGGATACTTATGCATTATACATTAGCATCATCACAGTAGGATTCGCCTGTGATGACAAGGGTCTAAATTGAGAAACCGATGACACCACAGTAGTATAGTTGGTTTGGTTCTATTGATTTCCATATAAAATACATCATGTCGTTCCCAAAAAAAAAAAAAAAAAAGATTGCAAAACTCGAACAATTCACTTAAGTTATTTTTTCTCGCATTTCTACAGCACATGCAGTTTTGGAAAATGGCACTGTACAGAAAACGAATGTGCAAAAATTGGCAGTTTAACCGGCCTTTCCCATGTCCAAACTTTTGATGGAAAACATTTCAGCTTAGATCCATCTGCCTGTGCCTTCGTACTTATTGAGGTAAGTTAGAGAATGTAATAAAGAAGACTTCAAACAAATTCTAATCTGATAAAGTTGAACTCTACGTTGACATTTGCAATTTTATTATGAAGTAATACCATCATTAAATCCAATTGCTGAAGATAGTGTTGTCAACTGTGTCATTATAAATCACGATTGCTTTACTGATGATTAGTTTCCAGAGGATTGCAGGCTTGATTTTTTTCAAACGCAAAACTGATAGGGTAGAAATGTGGAAAATGACATGACGGCTCTTTTTTTCCTACATGTAAAGGTTTTGTCGGTAATATTTGTAAAATAATATTTCGTTGATTTGTTCCTTTTTTATATTTCAGTCAAGAGACCCGAATGGTGATAGTCGAATAAATCTAACCGTGCAGGCAGTATTTGATACTTGTCCAACAACGAGTACCATGCTAGGACGAAATTGTTTGGTAGCGGTGAACATCAAGTACAAAACAACTTCTTTAAACATCCGAGGAGATTTGATAACAGTCGGTGATACAGTGTTGAATAAGAAACAAGGACTGTACATGTATTACTCGTCAGACCTGGTTATCGAGCAGGCTACAACAAGCGTAAATACGATCAGGGGATTAGGATTCCAAATCTTTCTTAACCGCAAATTAAACATTTATTTGCGACTAGATAGAGTATTTGAAAAAAAGGTAAATGCATGATGTATTATTATTTATAGCGAAAAAAAATATATTTTCTTTCATCAAACTCTCATCAACCAAACAATAGAATTGTGTATCATAAATAATGTGGCCAAAGATGACATAAATAGTAATATTTTGTAACATTTTTGCCATTGAATATAGTGTTATTTTTCACTAGTGTGTCCAATATTTTTCGTATCTTTCACTGAATGTACTAAAATATCAAACACACTTGTGAAATATATTTGCTATTACTGAAGACAATATTAGATATCCTCGATTGATGTGTCTGTGGGTAGGTAAAACATATCCGAATTAAGGAACAAATCCCAAGGTTCTGCTGAGGGTTTAACCACATGTGTGGGTCCTGTAGGTGATATATCGCTATCAAACGTACAGATCTGTATGTAGAAACTTTCATTTTCAAACGTGTCTCCGCTGAGGTCAGAATGACGACGTCTGATCAAAACATAGAAACATTTGATTTATTTCTCCCTTATTTTCAAAAGAAGTTTATGTTGAGCAGTGGAATATTCACAGCCAATATTTGAATTGCAGTTTCACATATTTGCAGTTCTAAACAGACACCCATGCGTGTCGAAGTATACTTATGTGTTGGTATGAAGCATGAAAACTGAAATTAGTTGCATTAAATTTCGAATGATTAAATGAATAATACATTTGTTGAATCCGCCAACTTTCTGATGTATTTCCTTTAACTATTGAAACGCATAACGCAATCTCTGCATTAAAATATATTACCCTAGAAAGAGCAATATTACAAAGATAATACGGGGGAAAGATAACAACATATGTTAAGAATAACATTTATCTACATTTTTGTTGTGACTAAGGTGATTGTTTAACCAAGTACAAAATAAATTCATATCTTCACTAATCAACTGGATAAACGGATTTGTATAATCAAAAGATAAACAATATATTACGGATTTATACTTAACATATCCATCGAGCGTAAAGCCACCTTCATCTTCGCATTTCAGTGCGATAAATATGAATTTGTGTACTTTGTGATCTTATCTTGACATGTTGATTAATAACACAGATATCTTTCATCTTTGCAAGGTTCTCGGACTTTTTGGAAATTATGACAATATTGCATCAAATGAATTTGAAACGAGACATGGAAGCATAGAAACAAAAAGTCACATATTTGCCCATGAATACAAAGACTGTTTGGATCCATCAAAGGAATATAATCACCCTTGTCTTGATTTATCAAAGGTAAGGACAATAAACCTAGATCGTCCAATTTGTAATGCCATAACCAATCGTAATAATGATCTGGAACTTGAACATTACAGCATGAGTAAAGTAGGTAGTTAGCTTTCTACCTTTGACTCAGTGTGTGAAGTCTTGATCTTTCCATTTAATTATCTCGGATAACATTAAACACAGTATTTGAATGATGCAAAGCTGATTACGAAGGTATCAAGTATATGAGTTACCTTAATATGCCGAATTATCCTTTTCAGGATTAATTTCCCACATTACTTCACTTGTTTAGATGATATATTACATTTCAGTTTAATAGGTGGAATTCCAGGTGATTTTTAACAGAATTATGAAGATGTTTAATAGTATAAAAGAAAAATTATCTGATGTTTTCCTATATTACCCTCTGTTTGATCAATATATATATACTTATTCTGTCCTCCAACATCCTTTGGAAGTCTCCCAGAAACTGTTCATGGAAAATTCCTCAACGAAAATATCCTCTAAATAATCTGCAAAATCTATAACTGAATATCCATCCTCTATTTAAGAAATGACCTGCATACTGTTGTTCATTTTAAAGGACTTGAGGATGAAATGATAACGAGATACAATTATATAAAACACGTGTAATCTTTAATTGATGATTGCTAAAAAAAGATTTCTATTATATTTTTCTCCTTGTCAGATGAGAGGACCGTGATGTTTTTGTTTTCATTTACAGAAAATAAAGGCTGAAGAAAAGTGCAAACCGCTCATTAACCATCCAATATTCACTGAATGCTTCAACCATGTAGATGGTAACGTGTTTTATACGAACTGCATCGAGGACTACTGTGCAAGTAAAAGCCAGGACGTAAACAATACTGTTTGTGCTATCACAGAAGCGATGGCATTGCAATGTGCACACATTGGAGACTACAGTGCTGTTAATTGGCTTTATGATGAAACGTGGTCTGATATGTGTGGTACGTAGAATGTAAAGAAAATTGTCATATTAGCTTAAGTATATGATTGCAAAGTTTACTCACTATCAGCGAATTGCTATTGCACAATAATAAGTTTATGTGCACTAATAAGACACAACTTTAGTAAGAAAATCATAACAACTCACTGGAATTCATACTTTGGCGGCTATGTATTCACATTGCTGAGGCGAAGTATCATAAACAAGAAACAACAAGAAAATACCATCATGTCAACAAAATCATCATCCAAACATTGACCATCAAGAAAAAATGCATATGACTTCATTCATTTGGCATTGCGTCAGTTCGTATTATCAACGTGATAACAAACTTAAGATATACTCGCTAAGATTATTTCATAAAAGTAAGTCATTCTTTAAGATAGGTGACTTTAATAACGTTTAGTAATTCAATACCCCTCCTAATGACATTTAATTTCATTTAAACCTTTGCACCTAATCTTGTTTAAATGGTGACGGTATATCGTGAGGATTTAGATGAGGTATTTCTTATTGAAACACTTTTACAGAATTGATATTTCTACATGACGGTATTTGTGTATTTCCTACTTGTACGTCTGATACCGAAGGAAATGCATTTCCGTTCGTATGTTATTAAACAAACGTCAAAAAAAAAAATAAAATAAAAATAAACCAGGAAAACAGGAAGAAAAAAATCGTCATGCACACAATAACGGATAGCATCAATTCGTTCTGTAAATTTGATTCGCACAAATGTACTATGTATTTGAAGAGGTCTGTCAATAAAACTACCCGCAATTTGACCCAGAGGTACTGTTTTACACAACATGACTTCACAATCAAAACTCCGATCACGAATTATTTTTGCTCGCCTTAAAAATGCAGATTTGTTTTACCTTTCACTAATATGAATCATGTTTTCAAAATATTCGAAAGACTAGGGTGCAATAATTTAGAGAAAATCATCTTGAATACTGAATTGAAAATATATAGCCAACGAAATTTCTTTACATGTAACACTTTTGGTTTTGTTTAGCTGAATATGCTGTGTGTGAAGGGGGCAGCGTCTACACCACCTGTGCCAATACTTGCGAAGGCAAGTGCCGTGATATACAGGTCAATGATATGTCGTGTAAAGAAATATGCATGCCTGGATGTAAATGTCCGGAAGGCCAACTTTTGAGTGATACAAATGTGTGCGTTCTTATTGAAGAATGTTCATGTTTTGACCGATATTCGAACACGTTTAAAGAGGCACATTCAATTACCACTCAAGGCTGCAGAAACTGGTGAGCATGTCTTTATCTTTCCAACATACGATAAGCGACCTCAGATCAAGTTGTTTCGATTTGTAACTGGGGTCTGGTATTTTAATTTGCTTGAGTGACTGAATATGAAAAATAAAATTAACTTCTCAATAGATATAAAATACCAGATAATTGTTAATGTTGTTAAATAACATGATCAAATATGCAATGATTGAAGCTCTTTTTATCCTGTTTCTTTGTATCAGTACTTGCAAAAATGCCAATTGGGTGTGCGACAATGAAGATTGTGACGACAGTATTGACTGTCCAAAAAACCAAATCTACAAAAAAGGTCTCACTGGCTGCGAATCAACTTGTGAAACTTTGGACCGTACAATATCGTGTGGAAATTCTCTAACATATGACGGATGTGCCTGCCCAGATGATATGTACAAAACAAAAAATGTATGCAAATAATACGCCGTTCAATTTGAAACGAGTACATTTGCGATTAGCTTTGTTTCCTCAATATCAAGAGTGGGAAAATAATTGGAATTTATTAATAAACTTGTAATTCAAAACGTTACCAATATTTATCTTTATAATGCAAATATGTTTAACTGGTAAAGACGTTTTCACTTGAATTTTAATATATCATTCTAAAATTTGTTATATATCTTTTGTTTTCAGGGTACTTGTGTAATGAAGGATGAATGTCCATGTTCTCGTTTCGGCGAATACTATAGCCCAGGTGAAACTTTCGAGGAATCGTGCAAAACATAGTAAGTCTGCGTTGTATGCATAATCATGATCATTGCTGTCACCATTAAGAAAGTATATTTTCATATTCCCACTGTAAGTTGAAAAGAAAAAAAAACAACAAAAAATCCAACAGAAAACATAGTAGGAACGTGACTACTAGTTTGGGATTAGATCGTAGGAGGATGGTATTCAGTCACTTTCGCGGATGATATAGTCACTCAATGGCTATTTCAATGTAGCATAACGTTAGAATGGAAAATATTAACCCTCTAAAGCCCGGTATGACCGATGAGTTCTACAATTTACCGACAATATCTGAAGTCCTAATCATCATTTACGCGAAGGTGGAAAGCATGCAAAGGGCAAAACGCAAATGGTTCTGATTAGATCAAATGGGTATAACAAAAGTGTATTTAGGGACTGTTGTTTATTTTATATTACGTAACATCTTATTTACATATAAGGTAATTCAATAAGGTTTCCTCCTGCGCACAGTTATTCAGATGATTAGTGAGTGTATTTTTATCAGAAATGCTTGTATGCTTTTCAGCGTGCGGCGAATGAAGCGTTTTTGTTGTGATTTCCAGGATATTACCTCTAATGTAATTTTGCAAGGAAATTTTTTTTTTTTTTGATGTAGAACACATTATTACTATCATTGTTCCCGAATGAACTGTTTCGCTCAGCTTACCTCATTCTTGAATAACTGACTCATTTATTTTGAAGGATTTTTCAACTTCGTGCGATTATATTTGGATAGAGTAGACAGAAGATTGTCAAATGACAAAAAAAAAAAAAAAAAAAAGAAAAAAAAGAAAGAAATGAATTAAAAAATCCATTTACTATACACCTATATATATTGATATAAAAGTACGAAAATGAATTGAACTGCACCATACAGCTGTGACGTCATTCTAAGATTTATCAGTAATGTTAAGGGCCTAACGTGAAAACTAAAATCCGACTGCGAAAACAATTAGTTGTGTAAAGAAATGTCATAATTTAGACCGGGATATCACCGGTCTCATTATCCAGTAAATTCCGCAATTCTCATGTATCTGATGATATCAAAGGAGCGTCATATTAGTGTGTTTATTTTCTATGAGTCACTATTCGAATTAATCTAAACATGGCATGCACGTTACACAGACTTGTGTTTTAACAAGTCAAACAGTATGTTTAGATATAAATTGGACAAATATTCCATCTATGTAAAGCCACATTTATGTATAAAAACATGTGCTGTATTTATGTTGTGTGTTATCCAGTAAAAGGGGTGTATTGTATAGTCCTTATGATTACAATTCCATGCCAACTGTCTAAATGTCCGACTTGTTTGACTTTAAAAGAGATAATCACATATATGTACGAGAGGTATTTTATAAATGATATAAAATGAAATATGAAAAATAAAAAAAATCAAAGAATAGTTAATGTGCTGAAATGGATAAATACGATATGGTTTATCTTTTAGCCGCTGCAAAGACAGACAATGGAGTGTCATAGCTAAGGAAGACTGTCCAGGTAAGGGAATATGTATTGAACATTTGCAATAACTTCAATACATGGATTTTGATATCATAATTATATGATATTATTAATATGCCGACAATTTCTATTATAGCTGTGTGCTGGGCATCGGGAGATCCTCATTACACCACGTTTGATGGCATCCATTTCAATTTCCAAGGTGACTGTTCTTACACTTTGGCTAGGAGTAACGGGACATTTGATATCAGTTCAGAAAATGTGGAATGTGGAGATGGTGGCGTTACTTGTACAAAAATGGTACATGTAAAGTTACAAAGTGGTTTGACGATATCATTGGTAAGAGGTTCTCCCGTAAAAGTTGGTGACACAGTTGTTAACGGCATTAGCTACAAAACATCTGGTGTCGATGTTTCCATTGAATTCCCGTGGGTCCGTGTCACAGTCCTTGACGAAGATATTTCCGTGATGTGGGATAACGGTAAGTTACTGCTGATTATTTGTGTTACATACATTCTAAGATTCATTTTGAATACAAAATTTCATCTTTATAAAATGAAGAGAAACCATGAAGTGTTGAATTTTTGACTTGTGTAAGTTTGTATTACACCACAAGAAATTGAAACCTAAATTCACTATAAATGGCATTTTACCGGCGATGTATAAATGCCATTCTGCGATTTAACAACTCTTTCTCTTTGCTTATGCTTATGATAATTAAGTATATATCTTCATTCCCCCTACAAGGTACAAGGGTTTATATTTTCCTCGGCTCCAAATGGAAAGGCAGAGTGGAAGGTCTCTGTGGAAACTATGACGATATTGATAGTAACGACATGCTGTCTCAGAATGGAATGAATGATGTTAAGGATATATATGGGTTTGCTAACTCATGGAAAACAAGTACAACATGTGCTGATGTACATTCTGATCCAACAGAATCTTTACCTTGTCAGGTCAGTGATGATTTCTTGTCGTACATATTCATTTGAGTCCTAATCTGCTAGAATGCATCAATGTGGAAAAAATGAAGCAAGTTCTGAAAAGAGTTTAATCGTATATTCCATATGACACATCTTTTATTAAGAAAAAAAAAATACAGAAGATCGAACATAGATATATCTTCCGAAGGAATGCCGGATCTGAATTACGATATGACTCTATGTGTCTTAAATATATATAGGTCAACATTCACATAGGTGATGATACAAGGCCATCCTTAATTCATTTTGCAATAAAAAGGATATACCTCATCGATAAGTTTCATACATACTGGAAAACATTTGTAATATATAATTGAAAACACATGTTACCTATTTATTGATAAGACGAATCTCGGTGGATTGACATAGACGCATTGGGAAGGTATCGAGAAAATACAGAATACTACATTGAAGAAAAAAAATATGTTTGACAATTGTTTTTATGGATACCAAAACTTTCTATATTGCTTGACAACTATGGAATAGATTGGTATATCCAACACTTTGACATCACTTTTCCGGCCGACTATTTGCAGCCTCATTGATCATATATCAATATATTTTCCTTTACTTTCTTATCGACGGATTCGGAATAGTATTGTAAATGTTTTAGCTACTAACTGAAGTGATTACGTTTTCAGGTAGTACATCATATCAAAGGACACATAGTTTTGCTTCAGCGAGTTTCTTTCCAACTTATTCAACAGTTCAGTTAATAAAGGGGAAGTAATTAGGATACCAACGGTCTATAACATCTGCAGTGTTCTGCAGTAGACGTATATGCATATATGCATGTATAAAAGCCTCTTGTAAATATTTGCCCTGATATTTGATATGTATCATTTATGTGTACATGTCGATACATTAGTATTTGCAGCAATGGTATCTAGCTCATGAAATAAAGCAATGGAATTCAATTCTTATGATATGCTCATCAAAAATTTGTATTGTAATGAGGTCTGTTCTCATAAGGTTAAGAGCTTATACTTTATTGCAGATCTTTATTGTCATTCTGGCTTAAAAGTGATATTGATTTGCCGTTTACAAAACTGCGTGATAAAAAAACGATAATGTAGTGTTGTATAATCATGTGAAGTTAAGAATATTGAATTGATCATTCGTTATTATTGACAAACATGTAACAATATCCGTAGAAGGGATTTGTTTATTTAATTTTCATCAATACGGAACGATCCATTGAAATAGATATAAAAGTAGCTAAAATATCTTCAATATATAAATAAAGTTTCAATAATGAAGAAACAAGGTATGGGAATAGCTTCCTCTTTTATTTTGAATAGGGTAGTCAAAGTATCCGTGCTGCCTGGGCCGAACAGTCATGCAAAGTCATTATCGAAGGCGAGCTTTTTGCAGAATGTCGCAAACAGCCCAAAATACAGACAGACAAAATGTATCAAGATTGTTTGACAGATGCGTGCAGGTATTTTACTTTTTCTATTACTTTAAATAACCTATATGTTTTGTCCGATTCACACACTCAAAACATACTCTAATCAGTGTATCCATGTCTCGCTTTATTAAGGTTATGGAAATGCCGTAATGAATTGCCAGTACGTTGCCGTAATAACCATCCTAACATTTAAAGTCATGACGAGATATACCCATCCGTCAGTCGGATTCTTCTCCAACCATTTTCGAAATATTCTTTAACGAAATATCAATAAATCGTCCAATTGTATTGCTCGACAATTTGATAGTGGGAAGAGCTTCTACGTCTTTGATAGGTGAAATGAGCAGAATTACTGACTTTAAGTTAGTGCGGGGCAGCTTCGAACAAAAACTGTCCCATAATGGTTTTGTTTGTTTCTTAACACCATTTTAAAAATAACATCTGTTGATGATTTTACACTGGGAATATCTTCACTTTTGGTTATTTTAACACTTGACTTCGTGTCACATTGAAACCGAAATTCTTGATCAAATTTCCAATAACTTAATAGAATAAGTGTACTATTCCCTACATGAAGTGGTTCACTGCATACGAGTAGTACAAGTAATACCGCAAGTGTGTTGGTCTATGACTTTACTTATGGATCTAAACACTTCTTAAATACCCGGTGGTTGAATTACCCTTTCTCTTACATTTCTCCTTTATGTGAACAAAATGCTTGTGGTTAAGATTCATACATCATTAACCACGACTTTCGGAAGACCGCGTACGAAAAATCAACCTCTAATTCAAAATAACAAGATCATCGAACAAAACCATATAACGTAAAATAATCAAACCAATATATTCACATATAAAGCATACTATACCTCGAAAAAACTCATACTATCGTAATAAGTCACAATATATGTCCACAGTTGCAATAAAGGCGGTGATTGTGAGTGTCTGTGTACAGCGGTCGCCAATTTCGCCGAGGCATGTAACGCGTTGGGTATACATGTTAAATGGAGAACACCACATTTCTGTCGTAAGTATGACTGGTAACTAGGACTGTCATTTCAATGTAATAATTGAAAGTCTAGTTGTTTGATGTTATTTTGGTAGTATGCAATTACTTTGATACCAATTTCAATTGCGCAGTGTTATTTATAGATATAGCAATATGATATAACATTTTCATCGTAAATGTGTAATAAAAGTATTTGGTCATGTATACGATTTCTTATTTAAAAACTCCACCAGAAATGTAGCCGCTAGTTCGCAGATAAAGATTTTTTTACAAATGATTACAGTGACATTGACCTTGAGAAAAAATAAAATCATGAAACTTGCACTTGTTCAAGACATTCTAGTCCTAGTGTCTATTACGTGTGTGTAGACTGATAAGAACTCAACAACAAATGAAGACGATAGATCGCTTACAATGATTATCTAAAAACAGTGACGTGATGCAACAATCCTGGAATGAAGCTAGCATGATGGCTTACATGTGTGTGAAGTTTGATGAGAATTCCTTAGCGAATGGAGCTGATTAAGCACTGGCTGACAATAATTTTGACTGTATATATATATATATCTATATGAAAAACGGTAAAACTACATTTGGCTTTGTCACACCATACCTCAAAATCAAAATTTTCCAAGATATTGTAATACTTATTAAGCCTGTAAAGTTTGATGAGAAATCCTCAAGGAATGAAGCCGCAAGAACACTGACAAATTATCCGAGACCTAGGGACGGACGCAAAGACAGACTGTGAAAAAGTATACCCCCTCAATACCATGTTACCGGTATCATAATGTCTGGGTGCATTCTAGCCGGACGTGCATGTACAATTTGTGACATTAAGCCTGGAACAGATTAAGTTTATAGTTTTACCATTACATCGTAAAATTGATTCTCTTGTTCTGTTTTGATGGTTGTAATTTTACATCAGTTCACATGTGAACCAAACGTCAGTAAACGCTAATGACAACCGAATGAAAAGATGCATTTTTATCCCTTTAAAGCAATTATGTGTGAAGGAGGCAGACGGTATACACCTTGTCGATCGCCATGCCCACAAACATGTGTAAATATTGGCAACGAGCCGGAGCCATACTGCAACGATACGCAATGTGTGGAAGGTTGCAGCTGTCCAGAGGGATATGTGGAAAGTGGTAAGTGTAATCATGTTTCGGTGATTTGACGATTCCGTTCGTTTTAAAAGGATGATCTACCTCTGTCCAAATCCATTTATTTTGGTGTCTGAGAAAAGTGCAAAAGCTGATTAATCCTTATGACAAGTCCCCGATATAGCAATTACGTAATAAAATGCGTGGTCATTGCGTCTACATGTGTGTTCAGTGTAAAGCTAGAATAAGACAAATCGCTCTGGATTCCTATCCACCCATATCGCAATATATCAAATCCTCATTTTTTCTTAATTAGAAGTTAATGAACACTGGTTCTACTATTTTTTGTGTTAGGTTTTTGAATTTACATTTATATAGGTGGTACAATAAAATTAATTGTGAGTCATATTTACTACTGGAGGTGATCAGTTTTGCTTTTTTCTCCTTGACATACCAGTAAATCGTTTATTGTATCACTTTATATTCCGGTAGATGTCCGTATAATTATAGATTATGATTTGATTTAATATATTATATGTTTGAATGCTGTCTACTCATTATTAATTACTATCTTTTTAAGTCGATGGATGCATGCCTGCTGATGAATGTCCGTGCCATCATAAAGGTGTGGAATTTGAAGCAGGATCCGTAATAGTAACTGACTGTATGACTTGGTAAGCTTTTCATATCTCAAATATTTCACGTCTCGCTCCTAATAAGAATATTTACACAGCGAATTGATCTTTATTATTTACCAATACGGTAGGAAATGGGTTGAAAACACTTTGGTATATCGACAGGATTCAAGTTTTTAAAACATGTCGGTTTGTTGACAGTACCTGCGTTTCCGGATCATTTAAATGCGTCGGCGACAGCTGCAAACCTAACTGCACGACAGATGAATTCACATGTTCTAACGGAAAATGCATTTCAGACATGTATAAATGTGACACTTTCCACGACTGTGATGATGGATCTGATGAAGGAAACTGCAGTAAGTTTCACGCCTATGAACTGGACAACACTGTAAATAGGATAAAGTTGAGCTTAACGTTATGTTTATTATGATATTCTAATATAAATCGAATATACAAATTTTATAACGACGGTATGAGCTGAATTTGACATTTTGTTCCAGTGTACTAAGTACATAAACTAGGTAGATAGTATTCACCTGTTTTACGCTGCTGAAAAAAGCAGAAAATGTATTTTGTAAACTAATTTAGCATTGTGTCATCTCTACAGGTCTATTATATTGCAATCAAAGCAAGGTTACATCATTTTGTACAACTATATCAATTTCCATGGTCAATGAAAGAATTAAACCTCTGGTAAAATGATAGAGACTGCGTTATGAATATGTAATCATACTATAAGATTATGTGCTCTGGTAGACTTAGTATCTTTTGCTTCATAAACATCATCCATAATGTATATTTGCTCCTAACCACATGGTTTGATTAATGATGAAACGCTTTTTCTTCAAATTATCTTCATCTTAATTTTAGTACGTCCATGCAGGACAGCAGCAATATCGGTTCGAGTTGATATTTGTTCCAAATTCTGCACCAAATTATCTATTAAAAATATTAAGTTATTAAATGATGGTCTCATATATGCTAGTTAAATAAATGCATTGAGTGCGAGTGCCGTTTTTGAGGCTGTGTCACGTTCTTGGGATGTTGGGGAGCAGTCGCCGACTTCAAAGTGCTACCAGTATCATGCGAAATAAATTACTAGTTTGGGGCTTGCGAAAGCATTTTTTCTTGACATATCGGGTTTTATATGAGAATGAAAAATCGGTGAAAGGTATGTCGTGGTTATGTTACCGTCTACTGTTAAATAAATGTAGAACAACGTCAAATAACTAACATTTTATCCATGTATTGTATCTATCTTTCTATTGTTGCATTATGATAACCTTTTGAATAATACAAACGTGGAAGCATGGTTTACATAGAGCGGACGTGTTGCTACATCTGTTTGATATGATAAGGGGAAAAGGGTCGCGAGAAAGATAATCAATCACGTACTTGAAGATGGGAGAGGAACATCTCCGCCTCTTAATTTTCCTAACTCTCAAAAAATCCTTTTTTTCTGACCTATCATAAATTCAGGGAAAGTCCTGTTATTTCTCAGTTTTATAATTGTGAAATCAAGTGTGCGTTAGCCTATATTGTGCACACTCAAACAAATCAACGTCATTATTTGATCAGCATGCAGTCCAGGACAATTCCAGTGTGACAATGGCGATTGCATAAATGGAAATGAGGAATGCGATGGCTATCAAGATTGTATTGATTCCACAGATGAAATGAATTGCACATGTAAGTGAATTCTAAAAATACATTCTTTTCTAAAAACTATAATCTGTCAAAATTTAGGAAAAATAAACTCATTCTGTTCAATTACTTTTCGAAGGCAAAATATGTTTTGACGCTTTTTTATTTGATCAATGAGCATTTATGTACACATATATTAAAGTAACGTAGACAGAACAAGATTATTTTGAATTTAAAATAGATTAATTGAAAGTGATGTAATGTGTTCTTCACGTATTAAGCCTAACGAAATGTATCGCGTACATCCACAGCAAAATCCATTTTCAAACCTAAACTGTGAGAGCGATTCACCTTCGTTCCGATTTCAGTTTTGATAGATTGGAAGTTCTAATGAGACCCATAGTTTTCATTTGAGGAAAGGTTTTTTTCATAATTCTTTGATGGATCACACAGGTAAACAATGAAGCTTTCAGAAATGAAAATAATTAACAAAGTTATATGTAAAACTACTCGATTTTATTTCAGATGATAGTTACTACTATACAATAACCTGTCCTTAGTACATCATGTCTAGATTGATATATCTGATCACACACAGGTTCTAAACGGAACGAAAGTTTCAACCTGGACACCATCTATTACGTAGCACGCTAGATTCCTAGTTATTGATAGGTTATATTTTTTTACTCTACACTGTTTTTTCACTTAATTGTGTCGAAGTTATAATCTTTAACAAGGTCCGTGGCACGTAGTTGGACAGCTAACTCCACATCGAACCTCAGGCGTTTGGTGAAAGGAGAGCGCGTTTTTATTGCGCCGCTATTCTATGAGCCATGCACATTGGAAGTATATGAAGAATGAAATATCCCTGAACCGTCAGTCATTTTGTAAATCACTAATATGATGTTCCATAATATAGTGCATATCTAATTAAACAGGAAGAGTTTTTAAACTGGGTCAACTTTTAATTCAAATTCGAAATATCATCACAGAATTATATCCTTAATCGATATATTGCATTAAGCAAAACGATTATACTAAAATACCTTTCTTTCTTTACATTTATCAAAGATAACTGCAAGGATCTAACGAACAGCTTCCAATGTCCGGATGGAAACTGCTTCCCTCTGACTTTTCGCTGTGATGACGAATATGATTGTGATGATAGATCAGACGAAGCCAACTGTACAGGTAATATTTATTGTCTTACTTTCTATGACATTACCTCATAATCTCAGATAGAAGGCTTACGTTATGGTAGAACCTGTATGATAGGTAAATATTGTGTTATATTTTGTTAAACATACCATAACTATCATCAAATGATATTCTATAAAAAAGTCCTATTCCGTGTGAATAATTACACAATTATTTAGCAAACTTTGCAAAATCAGGTTATTTCCCGTTGCCCATAAATTGTTTAATATGAACACTAACATATCCTCTTCAAATAATTGTATGAATTGATTAGGAAAGAGAATCATTCCTGAATAAATATGTCGAAATTATCTTTCAATATTGTTAAAATGTGCATGAAGTCTTTTTGAATCTCTGCTTTGTACCCTCCATCTCAACCATTGCTACGACAACACGTTATCTACCTACCTTCCGTATCAGAAGTGATTCGATAATGATTCCTTTCATGAAATATATCTCGGAAAAAGAAAGTATGACATCAGCAAACTGATGGCAGTAGTCAACGTTTGGTAACCAATGCCCAAATTTATTCGTAAAAAAATGTTTTTTTTTTTTTTTTTTTTTTTTTTTTTTATATATTTAGTATTTGCGTGTAACAGTGAGAACCATTGGGTACTGGCACTTGGTTGTTTTGTTCCAATAAGCATTCATGATTAGTTACAATGGCGTAAGTGATATATCGTCTTCATTTTTACTGTTTACTGATGTATTTTCGTATAGTTTGCACTGATCCCCACCTTTATCAATGCACGACAACAATGAAGTGCATACCACCATATGTGTTGTGTGATAATCACGATGACTGCGGCGATGCTGAGGACGAAATAGGATGCAGTAAGTCTTCAAATTGTCTAATGTTGGTTACATACATCTAGATACAATTACAACTCAATTTTTATCTTAACTATGTCACAAAGTGACTCAAGTTTTCGTTATTTTGATTCAATAATGATATTCGTACTATTCAAACAGTGCTCAAACGACATTGTCGAATTTGCCACTTACATACCAATACGAACTGGAATGTAATGTTTTCTTTTATAGGAGCGTTATCCTATGTTACCAAATCAGGCAACCAATTCTTTGTTAAGTGGTAACAGTTAAATCCCGTTTTTCTTCAACGTAAATTCAGAAATAACTTTTGGTAATTTTCCAGACTCATATATTTAATATATGTAAATTTGAATTGCATGAATGGGGATATCGTTACAAAAATCAGGTAGTGGACTTTGATCTTCAGTTTTATTGCAGCTTGCATGCCACGTTTTAATACATTCGAATAGAAGCAGCAATCAAAACATACATATGGCTTCTCTTTAAATAATTTGATATTAAAACATACGAAATCTTCTGGACAAATGAATAAATGCAGCTCACCTTTTTTGTTTGTTTGTTTGTTTGTTCTTTTATGCTGGTCAGTTTTGGTTTTCTACGTTCGCCTACGAGGCTACAAAATTTAGACTCTTGGCCCCATCAACGATTCCTGGAAGTATAGGACATGTTTTATTTCATCGTGCTTGTTATATTCTGTAGAATACTGCTGTTTACATTGGATAACTTCAGTAAAAATATGTAAACATTAAGTTAATACTTTATTGATATAACATTGTATTATATATCTACTAGTTGTGCCTACCTAGCTCAAAAATAAATAATTGTTGTTTTTAATTACAGCAACAACCTCAACGTCAATTACCACAACTGCTAGTCCTCCAACTACCACTAGTAGTCCCTCTTCTAGTACCACCGGTCCGACTCCTACATCTTCTCGTCCTACATCTACAACCACAATTTCAACACCAACAGGAACAAGTCTGATATCTACAGTAACGACCCCAGGTATGTAGGTTGTGCACTTAAATGGAATATAGAAATTAGTACTAATTATATGTGCTATGTTTATAGACAATGACGGTTTCATAGTCAATCGGGCAATATGTTATTTCAATTTCCTAAAAGCATTTAGATTAAGCTGAAAATGACTCAATTTCATTATGATAGAGACGAAATATTCAACTTTCATTGATGAAATGGCATTGACAGAAGCAAATATCAAATGGTATAAATTCATGGTATATGATATTAGATTCAGCTATATCCGTCTGTCAAAGTATTAGTTACATGTAACCAAATTAACTAACGTACATAATCGTGCATGTGGTGTTCTCGGAATGATGAATTCACAAATTGGTCTTACGTTTTACAAATACACACATTTAATCATTCATTGAATTCGAATGCTAACACGAAGCACTTGTGTATGTTCTATTCTGCCACATTTTGTGCTACATTCATAATTTGTGCTGTATCTTTTTCTCAATTTCTATTGTGTGCCTTTTGTACAATCCATGTAGTCTACAAACTTTTCTTACAGAATGCCAGGAAATGACGATGGATTCAAGTTCAACGGCCGTTATTCAAAAGACGAAAGATGGCGTCATACACGATTTAAAAGCATTGGTTCATGGTGTAGAACCAACTATTTATTATAGCCTAACAAACATTGAGAGCGAAGTCACCTTTCTATCATATTCAGCACTATTATTTGGTGTCAACTACATTAATGTATATGTGCTAGATCGAAATGGTGTCAGAGTGAATGGACAGAACCCTTTTTCCGTAAGTTAATTTGATTTGGAAATGCGTTCCAAAAGCTATGAGGCATTCATACTAATGTCATTTATATATTCGGCTGATTTTGAGGCTGACTACATTTTTAGCTCGAATTATATAAGAATATAATCGTCGACAAGATAAACTTTCTTTTGACTCATTTCAAATCAAGTTAAGTATAGTATTTTAGACTGTGGAATTTTAGTGGTAATCTGTGATTCATTTTAAAACTGTATAACTAAAATGTGGCCAGGTACCTTTAAAACTACACATACGCATGTTTGTGTGTAATGCAATTCTCAAGTGTGTGTTTTGCGTGAAGTTAAGAACAACATGAATATTAGATTATACAAGAGCATATTTTTTTTCTTTCACTAAGTTAAATGGGGCCCATTTCAAGAAGTAAAAATCTTCATATTTTCTGTGGAGATGTGCTATCAGACATCATGGTAGTATTTACTGAAGATCACTGATTACATTTGAAAAAACCAAGAGTCTTTGACAAATTATGCTGTTATTAAAAATTGAGAGCTGTTGTTTGAATCAACATGTCTAAAAGGTATTCTAATGGTTGATCTCTGTTGACAGATGACACTTGACAGTGATAAGGAGGTCATCGTGCTATTGAACAGTACAAAAGGATATTCGTTGGAGTCAGAACTCCACCCGAGGCCATATAAGCCGGTGACGCAGGCCTTTCGAAATATAACAGTTTGCTACTCTCCAGGTGTGTACTTTTTTATATTAATTATGAGTTCTTTAGTACAACAATCAATAGAGCGAAATGTAATTAAACGAAACCCGAAACACCTTGTTATGATGTTAAGTTATAGTTATCAATCGTATTGATTATCATTTTCGTTTGGCAATAAAAGGGGTTTTCCAAATGATATTATCAAACGCAGGATAGCTTGTTCTTGAATTATCGAATTTACATTTATATCGGTGGTACAATAAAATTATCTCCGAGTCATATTTACTACTGGAGGTGATCAGTTTTGCTTTTTTCTCTTTGACATACCAGTAAATCGTTTATTTACTGTCTAATTTTGGTTACATACATCTAGATACAATTACAACTCAATTTTTATCTAAACTATGTCACAAAATGACTCAAGTTTTCGTTATTTTGATTCAATAATGATATTCGTACTACTCAAACAGTGCCCAAACGACATTGTCGGATTTAACAGTAACATACCAATACGAAATGAAATGTAATGTTTTCTTTTATAGGAGCGTTATCCTATGTTACCAAATCAGGCAACCAATTCTTTGTTAAGTGGTAACAGTTAAATCCCGTTTTTCTTCAACGTAAATTCAGAAATAACTTTTGGTAATTTTCCAGACTCATATATTTAATATATGTAAATTTGAAATGCATGAATGGGGATATCGTTACAAAAATCAGGTAGTGGACTTTGATCTTCAGTTTTATTGCAGCTTGCATGCCACGTTTTAATACATTCGAATAGAAGCAGCAATCAAAACATACATATGGCTTCTCTTTAAATAATTTGATATTAAAACATACAAAATTTTCTGAACTATTGAATACATGCAGCTCACCTTTTTTGTTTGTTTTTTATGCCGGTCAGATTTGGTTTTCTACGTTCGCCTACGAGGCTACAAAATTTAGACTCTTGGCCCCATCAACGATTCCTGGAAGTATAGGACATGTTTTATTTCATCGTGCTTGTTATATTCTGTAGAATACTGCTGTTTACATTGGATAACTTAAGTAAAAATGTGTAAACATTAAGTTAATACTTTATTGATATAACATTGTATTATATATCTACTAGTTGTGCCTACTTAACTCAAACATAAATAATTGTTGTTTTTATTACAGCAACAACCTCAACGTCAATTACCACAACTGCTAGTCCTCCAACTACCACTAGTAGTCCCTCTTCTAGTACCACCGGTCCGACTCCTACATCTTCTCGTCCTACATCTACAACCACAATTTCAACACCAACAGGAACAAGTCTGATATCTACAGTAACGACCCCAGGTATGTAGGTTGTGCACTTAAATGGAATATAGAAATTAGTACTAATTATATGTGGTATGTTTATAGACAATGATGGTTTCATAGTCAATCGGGCAATATGTTATTTCATTTAGATTAAGTTGAAAATGACCCAATTTCATTTTGATAGAGACGAAATATTCAACGTTTGTGACTTTGCAATATTTAACACATCGGTGTATTCATCCGATATTCTATTAAAATAATGATATTCAAATGGAATAGAAAATGCGACCCTGAATTTTTTTTTTCTGTGAGTGCGGCCTTCATTGTTTACGCGGCACCGTCCAAACGTTGTTGAACAGTGAAGTGACTGTGTGGGTATATTCAGGGTCACACGGGATACGTCAAGCTAATGAAACATTGAATAATTTGCAATGTAGTAGATGCGAGAAAAAAATCTATCACCTGCAACTAAGCGAGGTCAGGGTATCTCAATTTCTTGCTAAAAGCCTGTTACATCTTAACATAGGCTTATTACTCGGATGGGATTATGGTACAGGTTCTTAGACCTCGACTGAGATACCAGGATCACGCTCAGTTACAGGTATCATATTTCATTAATGACGAAAATAAGAACATTCTATTTTGAGTTTATCTGTTAGTTATAGACATCTAAAATGTAAAGCGTGATACTGGGAGGAAGCCCAAAAAAAAAAAAAAAAAAACAGCGTATAATAGGGAACGAAGAATGTCGCTATTTCGAAATAAACATTCATAATACGAAAATTATAATTATCGTACCTATCGTACGATCTGGATGAAAGTTGTCCATGTTAGTGTCATACAAAGGAAAGATCGACGTAGATGACCAATATCGAAGAATGGTTTCAAATTCTGGCTGTTATGTACGATAAACGTCGTTGTGTAAAAAACATGTCAGTGAAGACATCTCCACGAGTTCGTCCGCAGTGTATTTCTTTGATTTGGACGTGTTTTTTTTTTGAAATAAAACCTAGTATGGTTCACAATATTATAACAGTATTCAATATGTCAGGGTAACGAAGGTATTCATGATACGGGGTAAAAAACGCCGGATATCTATGTTTACATTAGACATTACGAACGCCTTTAGTATAAATTCAAAGTAAGTATGCTGCGATTCAGGTACATCCGTCAGCCCCAGTGTTTGACACATGTTAACGAAAAATAATCTACCGAATCATGCATGTTTGAAATACACTACATAAACAAAATATTGAGTTTGAGTAGTAAAATTGAATGGAGGGAACCATATCTACGGGTGCAGTTTTAATCAATGGTAAGTTTAACATCTGCCTCACGTAGGGTGGTCGGATGGTATAGCGGTAACACGCTCACCTTTTACATAGGCGTCCGCAAGGGTCGAACCCAGGAACGGACGTGAACATGTATAGGCTCAACTTCTCGACCACATGGAATTTCCTCGGGTACCCCCCTTTCCTCCCACAGCAATACCCCTCGCACGCTTGCCTCCGAGCAACTAAGGGTGCTTAATATCAGCTTAAAGCTTCAGCTTTTGGCCCTTGGATGCAAAACACATAAAGTGTATTTATTCATCCACGTTTCACATTCATTTTGGTCATTTTAAATTTCTCGACGTTGTCTAATCATCTCTCTAAGCGAATTATTTTAAATATTAGCTCGGAAATATTTACATTGAAACAACCTATTAAATGTCGATATTATTATCCATTATCCTTTAAAAGTCGTAAATCAAATCAAAATGAATAAATCTTCAGTTGTATGTCATCTTATTCCCTTTATGTTCTGTGCAAGAAAATTGATAAGCAATTTTCATGTTTCAATTGAAGCTACCACAGCGACGTCACCAGCGACAACGATATCATCAGAAACAACATCAACAACCACTACAACTACACCAGTCTCAACATCAACAACCTCAACAGGAACTAGTCCGTCAACAAGTAGCTCAACATTTACAGCTTCAACTCTATCACCTACAACAACCACAGGTATTCAAAGTTTTGTACTCGTGTAAGTATATTGATAGGAGAAAATCCCGAATAACGTTTCTGGATTGAACATTAATAGAGAAATGCATCATTCGCACAACGTTGTTCGGCTTATCAAATACCATGTGATGCGTCACGATTTAATGACTCTTCTTTTCCTTTTAATTCAAAAGGCCCAAGACCAACATTCCTGAAAAAGTAATTCTTTTCAAAACATTGAAAATTTAAATTCATTGTGTCTTTAAGGATTATGAAACAGTATAGTCATGTAGCAAATATTGTTAAGATAACAAGTTTTCTATGTGGCCATTATATCCAGTTAAATGTTCCCTTTAAATACAACGGTGTGTAGAACTATTGAACTACGTAAATGCGAAATATGACAGTACCTTAAGGTCACTACCATTGATAAAAACAGTACCTTTAGATATTGATATTTCTGTCGAAGAAATTCAAGGTAATAGGTTCAGCAGATGATCAGTGCTATATTGATGAGCACAATCGCAGCTTTTCTGTCTTTTATGATTCTTTCTATGAACTGTTTCACAACATTTTTAAATGACGATGAACATTGGAGATTAGTATTTCAATCTACTCAACCTGAGAAAAATGCCATTCTCAATGTCTTTTATGCCTTCTTACATTGTGTTTTCAACAAAACATCAAAACAATACCAGCAAGGCAACTTAATCATAATTCAAACTCAAGTTTCATAAAACTATAGCAAAATATGAACTAAAGAGATATTTACACGGAGACGCCCGGAAAAGTACAAGGAGAATAGGACCAGATGTTCAAGCAGAGTAAGCGTTTTTTTTACTTCATCGACGGCGCCCTCCATGTAAACCTTGGTCAATCCAAGTAAGTTATGTCACAGTCGCGAATGAGAACAAGGTATACAACAACGGAACCAACTGGCAAACTAAAGAGCATGAAATACGTCGAGCTTCATGTCGCACAAAGAAATAGAATATTTCTCAGTGAGATCACTATGGCAACCATAAAACTTCCCCATAAGTTTCATTAACCAGCATCATTTAGACCCTTGCGTCAGTCAGTTGACGACTTCTTGCATGAAAATCGTGATAATGGGAACAGGCACTTGCATATCGAATAAACTATGGCATATAAATACCATAGGGTGGAGACGTTAGTCATACAACGTGATGTAAAGTTGTTTATGCTGATTTCGTTGTATTTAAAGCTCGAGATTAGCAGCTGATTTCCAGTTCTGATGGATATATACGATGGACGTAGTCAATACATTTCTTGTTAATTAAAGACAAGACGTCATCAATATATCTGAAGGTGAAACTAAACGACTTTGTTTTGATAGGTTTTGATATTTCTTCTTTGATTTTTGAAATATGCTTCAATATAGGTCGCAACCATGTATTTATACCGCCGTTCGCCTTTCGTGGAGAAGAACGCTCTCATTACGAGATAACGAAGGCGTTCCTTCAGAATGGGGTACGGTGATATACAAGGTAAACAATTCAAATGTTCCTTTTACATTCTTGCAGAGTGCCAGGACATGATGATGAATTCGAATTCAACAGATGTCGTTCAAACAGTAAATGATGGCACAGTATACGATCTCAATCAAACAGTATACGCTGAGCCACCACCTGTCTTCTATCATTTAATAAACATCAATGGCGAAGCCACTTTCAAAACTTATTCCGCTGTGATATACGGTGCAAAAAGTATCAGAGTATATGTACTGGATCGGGACGGTAACAGAGTTAATATGCAACCTTTCCAAGTAAGTTTATTTTTCAACTAAATTCTAAGCCCAATCAAACGCAGAATACAAACAGCACTGGCTTACTCTGTCTAGGTCTGACAGGCCATCTCTTCAAATGCAATTTTGTCTCTAACCAGTCATCTCCTAACATACAGCTTTGTCACAGACATGTCATCTCCTTACATGAAGCTTTGTCACTAACAAGCTGTCTCCTAATAAGCAGTTTTGCGACTAAAAGGCCATCTCCTTACTTGCAGATTTGCGTCTAACAGGCCACCTCCATCAATTCAACTTTGTCAGTGTCAGCCCATCTCCTAACATGCAGCCTTGTCACTGACATACCATCTCATCGATGCAGCATTGTCACTACCAACATATCTCCGTTACACGCACCTTTATCACCGACACGTTATCCCCCTTACTTGCAGCTTTGTCACTGATACGCCATCTCCTAACGTACAGCATTGTTACTGACATTTTCTCACCTTAAATGCAGCTTTTTCATTATCATACCATCTCCCTCACATGCAGCTTTGTCATGTACATATCTGCAAACCTTCAACTTTGTCATAGACAATTTGTCATTTTGCCATCGTCAATGGCAGGCCATCTCTTAACATGCAGCTTCGTCACTGACATACCATCTCCGTGAATACCACTGTGTCACTGCCAAGATATCTCCTTACATGCAGTTTTTTTCACAGACCTGCCATCCCCTTACTTGCAGCTTTGTCACAGACCTGCCATTGCCTTACATGCAGCTTTGTCACAGACTACCATCCCCATAAAATGCCTCGTTGTCACTGACATGCCATTTCCTAACATACAGCATTGTCACTGACATTCCATCTCCCAACATACAGTTTTGTCACAGATAGGCCATCTCCTTACATGCAGGTTTGTCACTGACTGACCAGCTGGTAACTTACAGCTTTGTTACTGCATGATATCTCCGAACATACAGCTTTGTCACAGACATGCCATCTCCTTACATGCAGCTTTGTCACTTACTACCATCTCATTACATGCAGCTTTGTCACTGATATTCCATCTCCAAACATACAGCTTTGTCACAGACAGGTCATCACCTTACATGCAGGTTTGTCACTGACTGACCAGCTGGTAGCTTACAGTATTGCTACTTTATATCTCCGAACATACAGCTTTGTCAGAGACATGCCATCTCCTTACATGCAGCTTTGTCACTTCCTACCCTCTCATTATATGCATCTTTGTCAGTGATTACCATCTCCTTATATACAGCTTTGTCACCGACTGGCCAAATCCTCCTAACATACAGCTTTGTCACTGACATTCCATCTCCAAACATACTGCCTTGTCTCAGACATGCCATCTTTGTCGAGGACGTGTCATCTCCTTATATGCAGATTTGTAACTATCTACCATTTTATTATATGCAGCTTTGTCACTGACATGATATTTCCCAACATACAGCCTTGTCACGGACATGCCATCTCCTTACTTGCAGATTAGCCACTGACATAATATCTCCCAACATACAGCTTTGTATCAGACATGCCATCTCCCAACATACTGCATAGTCTCTGACATACCATCGCCTTGCATGCCTCGTTGTCACTGACTAGCCAGCGCGTAACTGACAGCTTTTTTACTGCATGATATCTCCGAACATAGAGCCTTGTCACAGACATTCCATCTCCTTACTTGCAGATTAGCCACTGACATAATGTCAACCAACATACAGCTTTGTATCAGACATGCCATCTCCTTACATGCAGCTTTGTCACTTACATGATATCTCCCAACATACAGCTTTGTCACAGACATGGTATCTCCGAACATACAGCTTTGTCACAGACATGTCATCTCCTTACATGCAGCTTTGTCACTGACATGATATCTCCCAACATACAGCGTTGTATCAGACATGCCATCTCCTTACATGCAGCTTTGTCACATTAAGGTCAACATAATATCTGACAAATTTTCCGGCCAAATTAAGATTTTATTTTGATAAAATAGATGTAATAAAGCAATAATAACGATAATAAACTGTCAAAATGTAAATACTGTATATAATTTTCCTTATCTTGTTTACCAAAAATGTAAATACATACAATAAATCAACATTTGATAAGCTAACAAAAACTATCAGCCATTCTAATTACGTTGACAGATGTCACTTTACCATGATACGGTGGTCGTCATACAATTGAATAGTACAAAGGGAAATTCTCTGGAGATTCAGCTAGAGGCGAGAGCTTACGGATATAGACGGCTGAATTTTCGATACATCGGTGTTTGCTATTCGCCAGGTTTGTATACCGTTTCAAATGGCTTTTTATTAAAAGCATAAAAATGAATTATGAAACTATTGTATTGTATGACAAAATAAGAAGGCAGATACAGAAAAGGTAATAGATATTGTCAGAATAAAAACACAACCATAATTAATTGTACATTGCGTACGTGCATTTATTCATATACACTGACTGTTCATTTGTCAAATAATTTTAAACGCCTAAACATAACAATATCAGTCACATCAAATGTTGAGAGGTCTAACAACCCTTTGAATTAAACGAAATTACGTAAAAATGAAATTCGCCTATTTGAAATATGCTAAAAAGTACCCCGTTCCTGGAGAGAGATATAAAAACCTTGAATCATGAAATTCACCTCATTGGCAAAACACCTTAAAGCCAAATACGCAACTTTCAATACAGGTAAAAACCCATATCTGAAGGAATCTCTCACTACCGATATCCACTTATAGAACACATATGATGTGTAACTTTTAACACTTCTTGGTTATTACGCCAACTGTACATCATACCTTTAGAACGTTTCACCGGTATAGAACGAGAAAGATTTTAATGACTGATGATATTAATTTTGCTTTTACGTTTAATGACATAACACTATTTAATGAACAGATTATTCATTACAAAAACCTCTGGCACACCAAAATATCGGTATCATCAATGACCTGTGAATATTTGCATGCATCATAGTTATTTCGAATTTTAAAGATGTTTTGGCTCGATACATTTTATTTTTCGGACCATTTAGATGATACCGTTATTTCATTTCGTTTGTTTCATATTTTAATGCAAGGTACCACTACGACGTCATCTGTAACAGTAACGTCAACAACCACTACCTCGTCAACTACGACAACGACAACAACACCAGTCTCAACACCATCATCAACAAGTGGTACGACTTCTACTTCTGCAAGTGAGACACCTACGACGCATACAGGTATATAAAGTATTATATATTAATGTCATATTTTATGAGGTGAAATTGTAGCTTTAGTCAGTATAAGAATTCAATGTAATCAGGCATCAGAGAAGATTGATTGCATTGATGAAATGGTTCGAATGCCTTCTTGTTGCATTTTTCTCGATCACCAGATTACCACTGGATTGGTTGGTTATGTAAATGTAATTGCAAAAAAAAAAAAAAAATTAGTTGGATAATCCCTTAGTCCAGACCTGACATATTAGAGAATTCGATATTTTGAACGGCTTATCATATTTGCATTGCTTTACGCTTTTGTTCATTGACGGACTGTCTCCTCATATATTTGAGGAAAGCGTATTGACTGCTAGTGCTTTAACAGAGTGTGATATGTTGGGATATAGCTACCACACTGAATTGGTCTATCGAAGGCACCCAGATGGACACCCAACTCGGTCATACTCAAAACGACCATTACAGAAGCAACATGATTATATATCTTAACGTATACTGGAGAGTAGTGACTATTTTGTAGACTCGAGCATGTCTCCCTCAAAGTCTTCCTCACAGAGGCGGAAACTCGACTGAAGACCAAAAAGTGAGGCATTAGGGAAAAGGTCAAGAAAGAGAAAAAAATTATTTGGAAAGTACATGAAATTGCACCGTATACCCCATATTTCAAGAACAATGTAATATATCTTGTGATATTTTCAATATGTGAACTAAGATTGTAGTATGTCCATATTTGTAGAGTGACAGGAATGTGAGTTATGCATACGATGTGTGCTAGATTAACACAAGATGTATGCACAATGAGTACATGGTAAGATTACTGGACGAAGATTGCTATCACACAGTGATTACAGATGTGTGATTATATCGTGGTTTAGAATTGACTTATCAATAAGTGTGGAATAGGGTTTACTTATCTTCTAAATACTTGCGCAATTAAGTATATTACCCAATTGAGTTACATATCAAGAGGTCCGTTGTAGATTTATCCGGTATAGAATGAATTCTTATTAATACTTTTAATTAAATGTTTTTAGTTTACAAAACACCCCACGAGACCGGTCGTATTGTATAGACAATCATCATATACATTAAGTAAACATTAAATGTGCGTCTCTTTGATATCGTCTCAAATCTTTTCCAATAAAAATTAGTTACATTATCACTTTCATTTTTATGTTATTTTGCAACGAAAATATAAAAGTAACACAATAAACACTCTCAATACCAAATCATTTACAAACATAAATATTACAGCAGACCCCGTATTTATCCAGAGATATCACTCTCATTCCAGGTTCACTATTTGCAGATACCACTACACCAATATTTTTATAGATTTTATCTATTTTTTTTTCGAGATTATGCCAGATGTTTGTTAATGCCCATCAAAGGAAGCTAACCACACAATTATTTTTATCTTGATGCAATGCTTTGTTTGCAGCTCCCACAACTTCGACAACTACTACAACAACGACGACAACTACCACAACGACACCGCCAACCACAACGTCTGAAATCACTAGTGCAATACCAACAACTAGTCAAACACCTACAAGCACAAGTTCGACGCTTACAACGAGGACAGGTATTTCCAAATGTATTTCCAAATATTTCCTCCAAGAAGTGTATTATAAGGCCGAAAGGAGTTAGATGCCTGAAATTTGTAAATCAAATCAGCACCAACTACTGCTTCGAAACCTGATACTACTAATCACACATCGCTATATATACAACTACTAATCAAATACTACCATCCATCAATCATTAACTACATATTTGACGTTTACAACTGCTAATTAGACACATTAAACTCCGACATCTACAGCTGCCAATCCGCCATTGGCAACTGCTTATCAGACAATAACAACTACAACTCCAACACCTACAACTACTAATTCGACACTCATAACTACTAATCCGACATCACAGCTAATAATTAGACACTTACAGCTACTCCTACGTCACCTATAACTAATAATCAGATCTATACAACAACTAATCAGACACTAACAACAGCTAATCCGATACCTATAACGAATCATCAAATAAATCGATAATACATCAGATTTCGTCATAGAGGTGGCTTGCTTTTATTGTCAATGGTAATAATTATAAATATCGAATATAGTCAAAATGATCTGAACGTCATCAAACTTCACAACAGGTACCTTCCCAATATCAGCTTAGATCATTATGTGAAAATGCGGTATAAACGTAAATTGGTTTATGATGAAAGTGTATCGTATTATATTGATACAAGTGTAATACACATATTGATATCAAACTATATGTCTGCATCGCATTTTTGTCAACAAGTGTTTAATTCTGACAATAGTTTGTTGAAAGCAATATATTTGTATCAAACCAAATAGAAAAATAATATGGAAAAGTTTTGTCAGAAAATATTACTTGTTTTTCCTCTTGTCAATATTTCTTAACTTAGTACAATAGGCGTGTAACCGAATCAAGTGTGACCGATTTTCAGAATGTGAAGATGATATGGTGACAGAGGATGACTTTGACGATGTTTCCGTGTCATCTACGGATGGTAGCGTTAACAGGCTGGATTTCACGTCTCACAATACCAATTCAACATCGACAATTTTGTACGAGATTCAGGATGCTATCGGCCAGACCAAATTCGTGCAAATCCTTGTAAAAGTACGCAACGTAAGGAGAATTGAGTTCTTGGTATTAGACGAAAGCGGCAAGCCGGTTCCTGTTGCTACAGAGGTAATTCATGATTTTGTTTCTCTTGATTGTGAGGTGTGTAATGGTGCCTTCAATATGACTAATTGCTCGGAAACAGTTTACATATGCACAACACCTGAATAAGCTAAGACAGCTTGCTGATGGCGGGACCTTACTCGCTTTATCGGCTGTGTCTTTGATTGATGAAACAAAGAGAAACGTATTCGGTTTTCAATTTTGATATTGGTCTGTATTCTTCTAGTTTTGTTGGTTTTAGTCTTAATTGATGAATGATTGTGTATCATGACACAATTGAATTCGTTATATTGTCTTTAAACTAATCCGTTTTGCCTTCAGATTATTGATGCAAATAACCAGTATGTGACGCTAGATGTGAATCTGAAAAGTACAGCGGGCCTTGCACTGCAAGTTGTCTTATTTTCAAGTGTATATGATCGAAGTGAACTGACCCTCATCGAACTTAAATATTGCGTCACAAGAGGTATTTTCTCATTATTAGCTCCGCTGCCAGAGATCATGCTCCAGTTGTTAGATACTTGGTTGAAGTTACACAATGATAAGATAAAAAAAAAAAAAAAAAAAAATGCACATATGAATAAAACTATATTGTTCGAATTCTGATGAATTTCCCGCTGCATATTTGTTGAGACACGTCAGTTGATATTTGGAAATTGTCAATATTCTGCTTTGAAATTTCCTATTTGTGAGTGACAACAATTTACATTTTGCATTAACCTCTGGGTAACTCTAATCAAGGTTTCAACAACCTGGGCCAGCATGTTCAATTCTGTGAAGAAAAGAAACTGGCTATGGATGAAAGTGTATAACATTATTTTGATACGCGTATAATGATCATATTGATATAAAACAATTAGTTTTATTCAGAAATTTCATAAATTATCAGCGATGCAGGATTAACTAGCATGATCGAAACCATGAATTTACAAGATACTGAAAAGAGTCTATTGCCGTGAAAACATGTCTTCCAGTAGATAAATTCTAATTTTTCAAATTATATCAATGCATTTCCAACGTCTGTTTTTTCAGGAACCACACCATCGATACCACCAACCACCTCAACAGAAACGTCATCATTATCTACAACTGCAACTACATCACCTTCCACCTCTATCCCTACAACAGCAACTACCTCTACAACGACCATATATACTTCTTCGGCACCTTCAACAACACTGACAGGTATTGAAGTGATTGCATTTAATCGATATATTCTGTCTTATTCTCAGCAATGATTTTTGTGTAAAAAATAGGTTTATTTTGACAATAGTTTGTTAAAAGCCGTATATTTGTATCAAACCAAATAGAAAAATAATGTGGAAAAGTTTTGTCATAAAATATTACATGTTTTTCTACTTGTCAATATTTCTTAACTTAGTACTATAGGCGTGTAACCGAATCAAGTGTGACCGATTTTCAGAATGTGAAGAAGATATTGTGACAGAGGATGACTTTGACGATGTTTCCGTGTCATCTACGGATGGTAGCGTTAACAGGCTGGATTTCACGTCTCACAATACCGATTCAACATCGACAATTTTGTACGAGATTCAGGATGCTATCGGCCAGACCAAATTCGTGCAATTCGTTGTTGAAGTACGCAACGTAAGGAGAATTGAGTTCTTGGTATTAGACGAAAGCGGCAAGCCGGTTCCTGTTGCTACAGAGGTAATTCATGATTTCGTTTCTCTTGATTGTGAGGTGTGTAACGGTGCCTTCAATATGATTTATTGCTAGGAAACAGTTTACATATGCACAACACCTGAATAAGCTTTGACAGCTTGTTAATGGCGGGACCTTACTCGCTTTATCGGCTGTGTCTTTGATTTATGAAACAAAGATAAACGTATTCGGTTTTCAATTTTGATATTGGTCTGTATTCTTCTAGTTTTGTTGGTTTTAGTCTTAATTGATGAATGATTGTGTATCATGACACATTTGAATTCGTTATGTTGTCTTTAAACTAATCCGTTTTGCCTTCAGGTTATTGATGCAAATAACCAGTATGTGACGCTAGATGTGAATCTGAAAAGTACAGCGGGTCTTGCACTGCAAGTTGTCTTATTTTCAAGTGTATATGATCGAAGTGAACTGACCCTCATCGAACTTAAATATTGCGTCACAAGAGGTATTTTCTCATTATTAGCTCCGCTGCCAGAGATCATGCTCCAGTTATTAGATACTTGGTTGAAGTTAAGATAAAAAAAAGCACGTATGAATAAAACTATATTGTTCTAATTCTGATGAATTTCTCACTGCATATTTGTTGAGACACGTCAGTTGATATTTGCAAATTGTCAATATTCTGCTTTGAAATTTCCTATTTGTGAGTGACAACAATTTACATTTTGCATTAACTTCTGGGTAACTCTAACCAAGTTTTCAACAATCTGGGCCAGTATGTTCAATTCTGTGAAGAAAAGAAACTGGTTTTGGATGAAACATTATTTGATACGCGTGTAATGATCATATTGATATAAAACAATTAGTTTTATTCAGAAATTTCATAAATTATCAGCGATGCAGGATTGACTAGCATGATCGAAACCATGAATTTACAAGATACTGAAAAGAGTCTATTGCCGTGAAAACATGTCTTTCAGTAGATAAATTTTAATTTTTCAAGTTATATCAATGCATTTCCAACGTCTGACTTTTCAGGAACCACACCATCGATACCACCAAGCACCTCAACAGAAACGTCATCATTATCTACAACTGCAACTACATCACCTTCCACCTCTATCCCTACAACAGCAACTACCCCTACAACGACCATATATATTTCTTCGGCACCTTCAACAACACTGACAGGTATTGAAGTGATTGCATTTAATCGATATATTCTGTCTTATTCTCAGCAATGATTTTTGTGTAAAAAATAGTTTCATTCTGACAATAGTTTTTTGAAAGCAATATATTTACATATATGTATTCGGCTCAATGATTAATATATAAACATTTATTTTTCTCATGAAAAATCAACAATCCAGTTTGGAAAACTTTTTAGTTTCTTTTAAACTAATCAGCTTAACGACGGTAAAATCAAAGAAGGTAATACTTACATAATGAGGAAAATGAAATCAGCCAAAAGCATCCTTTCTTTGATACATTGTTACATACCGTTAGGCTATATCAAAGCAAATAGACAATAAATGTCGAAAGGTTTTTTTTCATAAAATATTACTTGTTTTTCTTCTTGTCAATATTTCTTAACTTAGTACAATAGGCGTGTAACCGAATCAAGTGTGACCGATTTTCAGAATGTGAAGATGATATGGTGACAGAGGATGACTTTGACGATGTTTCCGTGTCATCTACGGATGGTAGCGTTAACAGGTTGGATTTCACGTCTCACAATACCAATTCAACGTCAACAATTTTGTACGAGATTCAGGATGCTATCGGCCAGACTAAATTCGTGCAAATCCTTGTAAAAGTACGCAACGTAAGGAGAATTGAGTTCTTGGTATTAGACGAAAGCGGCAAGCCGGTTCCTGTTGCTACAGAGGTAATTTCATGATTTTGTTTCTCTTGATTGTGAGGTGTGTAATGGTGCCTTCAATATGATTAATTGCTCGGAAACAGTTTACATATGCACCACACCTGAATAAGCTACAACAGCTTGTTAATGGCGGGACCTTACTCGCTTTATCGGCCGTGTCTTTGATTGATGAAACAAAGATAAACGTATTCGGTTTTCAATTTTGATATTGGTCTGTATTCTTCTAGTTTTGTTGGTTTTAGTCTTAATTGATGAATGATTGTGTATCATGACACATTTGAATTCGTTCTATTGTCTTTAAACTAATCCGTTTTGCCTTCAGGTTATTGATGCAAATAACCAGTATGTGACGCTAGATGTGAATCTGAAAAGTACAGCGGGTCTTGCACTGCAAGTTGTCTTATTTTCAAGTGTATATGATCGAAGTGAACTGACCCTCATCGAACTTAAATATTGCGTCACAAGAGGTATTTTCTCATTATTAGCTCCGCTGCCAGAGATCATGCTCCAGTTATTAGATACTTGGTTGAAGTTAAGATAAAAAAAGCACGTATGAATAAAACTATATTGTTCTAATTCTGATGAATTTCCCGCTGCATATTTGTTGAGACACGTCAGTTGATATTTGCAAATTGTCAATATTCTGCTTTGAAATTTCCTATTTGTGAGTGACAACAATTTACATTTTGCATTAACTTCTGGGTAACTCTAACCAAGTTTTCAACAACCTGGGCCAGTATGTTCAATTCTGTGAAGAAAAGAAACTGGTTTTGGATGAAACATTATTTGATACGCGTGTAATGATCATATTGATATAAAACAATTAGTTTTATTCAGAAATTTCATAAATTATCAGCGATGCAGGATTAACTAGCATGATCGAAACCATGAATTTACAAGATACTGAAAAGAGTCTATTGCCGTGAAAACATGTCTTTCAGTAGATAAATTTTAATTTTTCAAGTTATATCAATGCATTTCCAACGTCTGACTTTTCAGGAACCACACCATCGATACCACCAAGCACCTCAACAGAAACGTCATCATTATCTACAACTGCAACTACATCACCTTCCACCTCTATCCCTACAACAGCAACCACCCCTACAACGACCATATATACTTCTTCGGCACCTTCAACAACACTGACAGGTATTGAAGTGATTGCATTTAATCGATATATTCTGTCTTATTCTCAACAATGATTTTTGTGTAAAAAATAGTTTTATTCTGACAATAGTTTGTTAAAAGCAATATATTTAGTATTTAGACATATGTATTCGACTCAATGATAAATATATAAACATTTATTTTTCTCTTGAAAAATCAACAATCCAGTTTGGAAAACGTTTTAGTTTCTCTTAAACTAATCAGCTTAACGACGGTAAAATCAAAGAAGGTAATACTTACATAATGAGGAAAATGAAATCAGCCAAAAGCATCCTTTCTTTGATACATTGTTACATACCGTTAGGCTATATCAAACCAAATAGACAATAAATGTCGAAAGGTTTTTTTTTCATAAAATATTACTTGTTTTTCTTCTTGTCAATATTTCTTAACGTAGTACAATAGGCGTGTAACCGAATCAAGTGTGACCGATTTTCAGAATGTGAAGATGATATGGTGACAGAGGATGACTTTGACGATGTTTCCGTGTCATCTACGGATGGTAGCGTTAACAGGTTGGATTTCACGTCTCACAATACCAATTCAACATCAACAATTTTGTACGAGATTCAGGATGCTATCGGCCAGACTAAATTCGTGCAAATCCTTGTAAAAGTACGCAACGTAAGGAGAATTGAGTTCTTGGTATTAGACGAAAGCGGCAAGCCGGTTCCTGTTGCTACAGAGGTAATTCATGATTTTGTTTCTCTTGATTGTGAGGTGTGTAACGGTGCCTTCAATATGATTAATTGCTAGGAAACAGTTTACATATGCACCACACCTGAATAAGCTTCGACAGCTTGTTAATGGCGGGACCTTACTCGCTTTATCGGCTGTGTCTTTGATTTATGAAACAAAGAGAAACGTATTCGGTTTTCAATTTTGATATTGGTCTGTATTCTTCTAGTTTTGTTGGTTTTAGTCTTAATTGATGAATGATTGTGTATCATGACACATTTGAATTCGTTATATTGTCTTTAAACTAATCCGTTTTGCCTTCAGGTTATTGATGCAAATAACCAGTATGTGACGCTAGATGTGAATCTGAAAAGTACAGCGGGTCTTGCACTGCAAGTTGTCTTATTTTCAAGTGTATATGATCGAAGTGAACTGACCCTCATCGAACTTAAATATTGCGTCACAAGAGGTATTTTCTCATTATTAGCTCCGCTGCCAGAGATCATGCTCCAGTTATTAGATACTTGGTTGAAGTTAAGATAAAAAAGCACATATGAATAAAACTATATTGTTCTAATTCTGATGAATTTCTCGCTGCATATTTGTTGAGACACGTCAGTTGATATTTGCAAATTGTCAATATTCTGCTTTGAAATTTCCTATTTGTGAGTGACAACAATTTACATTTTGCATTAACTTCTGGGTAACTCTAACCAAGTTTTCAACAACCTGGGCCAGTATGTTCAATTCTGTGAAGAAAAGAAACTGGTTTTGGATGAAACATTATTTGATACGCGTGTAATGATCATATTGATATAAAACAATTAGTTTTATTCAGAAATTTCATAAATTATCAGCGATGCAGGATTAACTAGCATGATCGAAACCATGAATTTACAAGATACTGAAAAGAATCTATTGCCGTGAAAACATGTCTTTCAGTAGATAAATTTTAATTTTTCAAGTTATATCAATGCATTTCCAACGTCTGACTTTTCAGGAACCACACCATCGATACCACCAAGCACCTCAACAGAAACGTCATCATTATCTACAACTGCAACTACATCACCTTCCACCTCTATCCCTACAACAGCAACTACCCCTACAATGACCATATATACTTCTTCGGCACCTTCAACAACACTGACAGGTATTGAAGTGATTGCATTTAATCGATATATTCTGTCTTATTCTCAACAATGATTTTTGTGTAAAAAATAGTTTCATTCTGACAATATTTTTTGAAAGCAATATATTTACATATATGTATTCGGCTCAATGATAAATATATAAACATTTATTTTTCTCATGAAAAATCAACAATCCAGTTTGGAAAACTTTTTAGTTTCTTTTAAACTAATCAGCTTAACGACGGTAAAATCAAAGAAGGTAATACTTACATAATGAGGAAAATGAAATCAGCCAAAAGCATCCTTTCTTTGATACATTGTTACATACCGTTAGGCTATATCAAACCAAATAGACAATAAATATCGAAAGGTTTTTTTTTCATAAAATATTACTTGTTTTTCTTCTTGTCAATATTTCTTAACTTAGTACAATAGGCGTGTAACCGAATCAAGTGTGACCGATTTTCAGAATGTGAAGATGATATGGTGACAGAGGATGACTTTGACGATGTTTCCGTGTCATCTACGGATGGTAGCGTTAACAGGTTGGATTTCACGTCTCACAATACCAATTCAACATCAACAATTTTGTACGAGATTCAGGATGCTATCGGCCAGACTAAATTCGTGCAAATCCTTGTAAAAGTACGCAACGTAAGGAGAATTGAGTTCTTGGTATTAGACGAAAGCGGCAAGCCGGTTCCTGTTGCTACAGAGGTAATTCATGATTTTGTTTCTCTTGATTGTGAGGTGTGTAACGGTGCCTTCAATATGATTAATTGCTAGGAAACAGTTTACATATGCACCACACCTGAATAAGCTTCAACAGCTTGTTAATGGCGGGACCTTACTCGCTTTATCGGCTGTGTCTTTGATTTATGAAACAAAGAGAAACGTATTCGGTTTTCAATTTTGATATTGGTCTGTATTCTTCTAGTTTTGTTGGTTTTAGTCTTAATTGATGAATGATTGTGTATCATGACACATTTGAATTCGTTATATTGTCTTTAAACTAATCCGTTTTGCCTTCAGGTTATTGATGCAAATAACCAGTATGTGACGCTAGATGTGAATCTGAAAAGTACAGCGGGTCTTGCACTGCAAGTTGTCTTGTTTTCAAGTGTATATGATCGAAGTGAACTGACCCTCATCGAACTTAAATATTGCGTCACAAGAGGTATTTTCTCATTATTAGCTCCGCTGCCAGAGATCATGCTCCAGTTATTAGATACTTGGTTGAAGTTAAGATAAAAAAGCACATATGAATAAAACTATATTGTTCTAATTCTGATGAATTTCTCGCTGCATATTTGTTGAGACACGTCAGTTGATATTTGCAAATTGTCAATATTCTGCTTTGAAATTTCCTATTTGTAAGTGACAACAATTTACATTTTGCATTAACTTCTGGGTAACTCTAACCAAGTTTTCAACAATCTGGGCCAGTATGTTCAATTCTGTGAAGAAAAGAAACTGGTTTTGGATGAAACATTATTTGATACGCGTGTAATGATCATATTGATATAAAACAATTAGTTTTATTCAGAAATTTCATAAATTATCAGCGATGCAGGATTAACTAGCATGATCGAAACCATGAATTTACAAGATACTGAAAAGAGTCTATTGCCGTGAAAACATGTCTTTCAGTAGATAAATTTTAATTTTTCAAGTTATATCAATGCATTTCCAACGTCTGACTTTTCAGGAACCACACCATCGATACCACCAAGCACCTCAACAGAAACGTCATCATTATCTACAACTGCAACTACATCACCTTCCACCTCTATCCCTACAACAGCAACTACCCCTACAACGACCATATATACTTCTTCGGCACCTTCAACAACACTGACAGGTATTGAAGTGATTGCATTTAATCGATATATTCTGTCGTATTCTCAGCAATGATTTTTGTGTAAAAAATAGTTTCATTCTGACAATATTTTTTGAAAGCAATATATTTACATATATGTATTCGGCTCAATGATAAATATATAAACATTTATTTTTCTCATGAAAAATCAACAATCCAGTTTGGAAAACTTTTTAGTTTCTTTTAAACTAATCAGCTTAACGACGGTAAAATCAAAGAAGGTAATACTTACATAATGAGGAAAATGAAATCAGCCAAAAGCATCCTTTCTTTGATACATTGTTACATACCGTTAGGCTATATCAAACCAAATAGACAATAAATATCGAAAGGTTTTTTTTTCATAAAATATTACTTGTTTTTCTTCTTGTCAATATTTCTTAACGTAGTACAATAGGCGTGTAACCGAATCAAGTGTGACCGATTTTCAGAATGTGAAGATGATATGGTGACAGAGGATGACTTTGACGATGTTTCCGTGTCATCTACGGATGGTAGCGTTAACAGGTTGGATTTCACGTCTCACAATACCAATTCAACATCAACAATTTTGTACGAGATTCAGGATGCTATCGGCCAGACTAAATTCGTGCAAATCCTTGTAAAAGTACGCAACGTAAGGAGAATTGAGTTCTTGGTATTAGACGAAAGCGGCAAGCCGGTTCCTGTTGCTACAGAGGTAATTCATGATTTCGTTTCTCTTGATTGTGAGGTGTGTAATGGTACCTTCAATATGATTAATTGCGCTCGGAAGCAGTTTACATATGCACCACACCTGAATAAGCTACAACAGCTTGTTAATGGCGGGACCTTACTCGCTTTATCGGCTGTGTCTTTGATTTATGAAACAAAGAGAAACGTATTCGGTTTTCAATTTTGATATTGGTCTGTATTCTTCTAGTTTTGTTGGTTTTAGTCTTAATTGATGAATGATTGTGTATCATGACACATTTGAATTCGTTATATTGTCTTTAAACTAATCCGTTTTGCCTTCAGGTTATTGATGCAAATAACCAGTATGTGACGCTAGATGTGAATCTGAAAAGTACAGCGGGTCTTGCACTGCAAGTTGTCTTATTTTCAAGTGTATATGATCGAAGTGAACTGACCCTCATCGAACTTAAATATTGCGTCACAAGAGGTATTTTCTCATTATTAACTCCACTGCCAGAGACCATGATCCGATTATTAGATACTTGGTTGAAGTTAAACAATGATAAGATAAAAAAAAAATGCACATATGAATAAAACTATATTGTTCTAATTCTGATGAATTTCCCGCTGCATATTTGTTGAGAGACGTCAGTTGATATTTGCAAATTGTCAATATTCTGCTTTGAAATTTCCTATTTGTGAGTGATAACAATTCACATTTCGCATTAATTTCTGGGTAACTCTAACCAAGTTTTCAACAACCTGGGCCAGTATGTTCAATTCTGTGAAGAAAAGAAACTGATTTTGGATGAAACATTATTTGATACGCGTGTAATGATCATATTGATATAAAACAATTAGTTTTATTCAGAAATTTCATAAATTATCAGCGATGCAGGATTAACTAGCATGATCAAAACCATGAATTTACAAGATACTGAAATGAATGTATTGCTGTGAAAACATGTCTTCCAGTAATTTAATTTTTCAAGTTATATCAATGCATTTCCAACGTCTGACTTTTCAGGAACCACGCCATCGGTACCACCAACCACCTCAACAGAAACGTCATCATTATCTACAACTGCAACTACATCACCTTCCACCTCTATCCCTACAACAGCAACCACCCCTACAACGACCATACATACTTCTTCGGCACCTTCAACAACACTGACAGGTATTGAAGTGATTGCATTTAATCGATATATTCTGTCTTATTCTCAACAATGATTTTTGTGTTAAAAATAGTTTCATTCTGACAATATTTTTTGAAAGCAATATATTTACATATATGTATTCGGCTCAATGATAAATATATAAACATATATTTTTCTCATGAAAAATCAACAATCCAGTTTGGAAAACTTTTTAGTTTCTTTTAAACTAATCAGCTTAACGACGGTAAAATCAAAGAAGGTAATACTTACATGATGAGGAAAATGAAATCAGCCAAAAGCATCCTTTCTTTGATACATTTTTACATACTATAAGCGTATATCAAACCAAATAGACCGATAATGGCGAAAAGTTTTGTCATATAATAGGTGTGTAACTGAATCAACCGTGACCGATTTTCAGTATACGAAACTGATATGGTAACGGATGATGGTTTTAGTGATATTTCGTGTCGGCTACGGGTGGTAGTGTTAACACGTTGAATTTCACATCTAACAATATACATTCAAGTTAGACAATTTTTTGTGGGATTACGGGTACTATCTACCAGACTAAAGTCGTGGAATTCCTTGGGAATGTACGCAACGTAACTTATAATTCAGTTAATCAATTGTTGATGTCGCTCTTCAGGAATTTTTTATTAGTATCAAAGTCTAAGTGAATACTAGAAAATCTTATCTAAAGACTTAATATCTCAATCCTTACAATTAATGTTGGTCCCATTGTTATCGAAAATTGATAGAAAGGATTGCAATTGTTTCGTCCAGGTTCGAGACCCAGCATTGATAAAAGCATAGGGTTCCCTTCCCATAAATTCAGTCAATCGCTCATACGATTTTTTTTTCAAGTTAGCAGACGGAACTGGAGATGGTATATGTTCATCGGTCATCTTGACCGGATAGCGTTGGACAGATCAACAAACTCACGCAGTAAACATGAAAATAAACCAAATGACACTCATACAATCGATCAGATACTTCAAAACGTCTAATGCCGGTTTAATTTGTTTAAAGAATTTAATTACAGTTCCCCTCACCAGGAGATGTTAAATTTAAGGTACATGCATTTATCTTTCCAATGTCTAATTACATATTCTGTGCGACATCAATATATGACACTCACCAGTAAATGAGTAAAAAATGCTTATAATCGGAATTAAGGATTATCATATTAATGTGTTGGCCAATTTCATACTTTTTATTTTATATTCTAGAGACGACCGAATCCATGTCATCGTCATCAGTTCTTTCAACCGAAAGTTCAACATCAATTATTTCTGTATCTACATCATCGCCTACCTCTGCAAGTAAGTTTATAACTTTCATAAATTATCCCTTTTTTCAGCTGATGCTTGGATAAACAAATTCGAAAGGATTTATGCCAGGTAATTACTGTATTAACATACTTGATAACAATGAAACAGTGAATGTTATTGCACCTCAAGGACTGATTCAGCATTTAGCTATCAACCAACAGATCAAATTAAAAACAAACATCAAAATGCGAGGTATATTTCGATCCTTTGGCAATTATCAACAAATGCTATTTGAAGCATTACCATATGCTGCAATCGTCCTAAAATGTTTTCAGTTACACGAAAACTTGATATAGTTTCTTTTGCTTTCAGCCCTTAACGAACAAGGTATAAACACAAATTTTCTTTCAGTATCCGAAAGAGTCAAAAAGACAAAACATTTGTTATGGTGTGTTTGCTTTGTTTAAGTATCAATTTCAGAAAAATCCATTGAAACATATGTTAACCACCAGGTACGGGCTTTGGCGACAGAACGAGATTGTGGAAGTGCACTGTGGTAAGAAATATTGATATCTGTCTATAGTTGATATCATAATGTTACTTAAAGTATACTCTTTGTACATAAAGATACATTGTTTACCAAATATGGCAGTGTATCTAAATGGATCATAAGCATGCATTCTAGGTTTATTTTAGCATATCCGCTATTTGTTTTTATGATAACTTAGCTACGCCCAACTGGTAAGTTTGATTGGAATTGCTGTAATCGCCAAATTAAAGCCGTCAGAGTGCGACACGCCAAGTAAAGACAACTGTGAGTATGAACATCATAATGAATCTTTGTATTGTTTTTGCTTACTTACGTCAAGGTTTATATTGATCAGCATGCTTTATTTCGAGGTATGTGTGTTGTATTGAAAGATTTATAACAATGTATCCATATAATTATTCCTTGTGTTGGAGACCTGAAAAAAGACCACCAACCCAAAAGGGCATCAGAATAAAGAGATTGAAGGTTAGTGTACATTTTCGTTTAACTTTTATGTGTTAACGGGCCGTTAAGAATGCAATAATAATAATTGTAAACATTGATAAAGATAACTATTTCACATTTTCGTGAAGATCCTACACATTTATACAGAACGGATGTAGTGCCAAGATAGACAACGAAGAAAATGTGTATTAAATATGATATGTTGCGTGTTAATCCCAGTAACCTGGGTCTAAAATACATATCCATAATGGTAAGTATATAAAATTATATTGATTCTATTTTCAGTTCATCATACATCCCAATGAATAAACGAAGACGTCGACTTTCATAACCAAAGTAAGTGTATATTCATTGATTAACAAAGTAATCATGTGAAAAAAAAGATTTAGCAAACATTCATGATTTACTATATCAGTTGAAAATGGAGTTTGTGATATTCCTGTCCTAACGTATTTCCTGGTTTTTTATTCACGGTATTGAATCTCCACAATCTCGGTCACATGCACGTGAAATTGAGCAGCCTTTACTTTTAGACGTCAACAAGTATAACGTCAGCAAATTTATGATGTTGTTCGACTTTTTGCTATGTATTGTGATAATAAGAGATATTATTTGTTTTCTATTAACGTAGAAACACCTGATAAAGGATTTGTTGTTTCTGTTGGGTGTTCAAACGCGATGATCAAACGTTTCAAACGTGCTAACACGGCACGAAATCGGAACAGAAGGAGACCAAGGTTTAGTGTCAATATGTTATGCTAGGTCATAAGCCACTTAACTTAGTAATACCACAGTTTAGTGTTCCATAGGGCGCAAGGCGGCTTCAGTTCAGAAATATCACAAGGAGGCTCTCACGAGTATATTGTAGCCTCTCCTAAACACACAGTTTCAGTATACACACTCATTTCGCATATCACGGGGGGCCATCCTTATATTCCATAGAACATTAAACAATATAAAATATACCAACCACCAACAATTTCAACCAGTTAGTTTGTTAACAGGTACATGTTGTGGTTTCGTGATGGCCACTGCTCCTTCCAATGCATTTTGTCTCATTTACAACCAGTAGCACTGCCATGTGTTTGCTGCCCCAATTTTATAGTAGATTATTGGCTTTTGATAAAACTATTAGGCCTTTGACACAGTTTTCATGTAACTTAAAATGAAACAAATGACATAGCAAAATATTTCAACTCTGTTTAACGACTTGATTCAGTTAGTCACGTTTTGTTTGGCAAGTCGTACGACTACCAATGTTGCTATCTATTGCCTTTTTTAGTGTCTACATGTTGATGATAAATGCATCATCAGGAGAATGATTCCGGGTGGACTCCATGACATATGAGTACGTATATATGTTTATTGTGAGGATATATTGAAATTGATAAGTATATTTCATGCTTTTAGTAGATAATACATATATCTCATACTAGTAATTTCATGAATGTTCTTTATGTCTTCAATATGCTGTCATATTGAGCTAATTCAGCTCTTGATAATACGTTTTATTTGTAATTCAGGTTGGTTGGAACTGCGGCAAAGCATCCGTGAGGCAATTGGATCCATAGCTGTTTCAGATCAACTCAATATCAACGGCAATACTACAATAACAGAACATTAAATTGCTACAGTTACATACCAATCTACTGTAGGATTACCATATTAGCTCGGAAATAAGACAACAAAAATAACACTATCATGAAAATTAGCCAATAACTTCATACATTGATAAACATGCATTTTCTTACTAATGACGAAAATAAGCCGTGTCTTATTTACGAGCTTTTAGGGTAACGTTCGTTTAACTGAAACAGAGGTTGTTCACAACAATTAATATTGGATGTATATCATAAGCGGAGCAAAGATCTTGCTTGAGAACTCTTTACTACTACAAAGAACAAGGGACACTTGAATGAAATTATAGATTTGAATTAATAAAGTAATTATAATACGTGTATAAACATCAATCTGATTCTTTGTAGTATCAAGTTTAGATATTGACATGTCGTTCAAACGAGGAAATGCGTCGAAAATCCCGTTGTTATTCCTGACGGTAAGATCAACAAGATTGTGTTTACAGTGTACTAGTTTTCCTTCTATGTTACATAGAGTGGTGTTGTCAAGAAATGAATGCCAGAAGCACATCTTTGGTGATCGTGTTGAGACGAGAGATTGGTTTCAGGTTGTGTAGCCTCTTAATAACTGTTAGTACGCATCCGATATGAATGCATGTTCTGACTGCGTACGTTTGTGGGCAGCAATATCTTGAAAGCGTCCTTGTGACAGATAGGAACTGAAGCTGACACTGAAGAATACCGACGAATCCCTCTGTCTGCACTTTCAATCCGGTTACAGTAACGCTGCCGCAACAGAGCATTAAGCATGGATGAAGTTCTTGTTTGTGCATATCTCAAACAGGTAACAGAACACAAAACATCGCTCACGGAGTAGGCCCTATATTAGTCGCCTCATAGTGTAATAATGTAATGGAAGACTAAAAAGTGCAATTGCTGTCCTGGGAATCGGAAGTTAATCTGACATCATAGGTGAGAACGCTAAGCTAAGTGCAAATAGTGAGGCAATAACAAGATAGTAATCAAGCTATATTTTAGGAAGAAGGAAATTATCAGATCCCTCAGTTATCTCTTGTGAAGCACGCAATTATGACACGTACAATTACTCTACCTGAATTTCAAGTGTAGATTAGTTTTGTGTTTAGCACAGTCGTTTTACAAAAAACAACCTTCACTCAACCTAAAACATCATGGTTCGCGATCGTCGGCAGCACCGGTTCCTCTGGTTATTTTTACCGATCTAGAAAGGCAACTCACTACACAAATCACACAGATGCAGAAAAAATAACTACTTTGACAGCATTTCCTTCAAGTTGAAAATCACAGGAAGTTTGAAATAGGGAACGTCATCATCCGCGCCTATGTTTGTTCGATATGGCGAAGCTGAAAATCACAGAAAGTTTTTTGCAATCAGATGGGTGAATGGATTTCAAACAAATGCATACAAATAAAATATATGCAAATAGTCAATCACTTAGGAAACAGAAATCAATAGTTCACATCTTTTATATAAATTTGATTTTAAGTTTAAAGGAAAACGAATTTCCTATATATATCTAGCTCGTTGGAATGACCCTTCTACACATTACAGTGTTATATTTCCAAATAGAGAAAACAGATCAATCTCTCCAATATGGATATCAGGATGCTATCTAAATATAGTTTGACGTGTTATTGGATGACGGAGAATTAATCTTGTATAAACAGCTGGTCTTGGTCTTCGGTATGATCGTCTTTATTCTCTCCCAGTTGGGTCTGAAACATCAAGGAGTGACAGAGACTTAATTTTACATAGCCTGTAGGTCTGGACACTGTGGGAGGGAACCATGAGAATACATTCTTCTAAACCCCCTCGCTATCTGTAGGAATGTCTATCTTTTGTCCAAAGCATCCTTCGTCCGATTAGGTTATACATAAAAAAATAATTCAGAATTTCATTTCATTGGATGTTTTACGTCCAGTTAAGATTGATATAAGCAACCACAACATTTTTTGGTACAACATTGCCAATGTGCTGATGGCTGCAGTGCAGAAGTTAGGGGAGGTAGGCAAACGTTCGCCCACTTTATCCCATAATGCATCGACAATGGTTGTCATTTTACGGAAAAGTCAGCTTGAGTCATTTGTACCCTGCTTTGCACACAGACTAAACCTGCAGTTGTTAAACGTTTAGCCAAGGTACGACGTGTCATATTATAAGAGCTCAGTCGCAGCAGTCATAAATCAAAGTAAACACACATTTTCTGATTTTCACCCGATGAAATTTTGCCTACGAGATAATTGAAGAAGCAACCGTCATTGAACGCTGCTCTGATGGACACCAAAATGACCAATCTTTTCACTCATATCCCCCTCCCCTCATGCACACACACACTTGCCAGACTACAAGAGAGTCTGGTAATTACTCCTGAAGACAGAAACACTGTGAATTGATAACATGTACTTGGTTGCTTCGGTGTTCTGAAAATAATACAGATAATATATCACTATATTAGATAAATAACAGACAAATAAGTGTAAAATTATTTCCATCGATATTACAATTAATGCATTTGTACAGTAAAAGGATACAAAAAGCATACCTTATCTATATCGCGCAGATATTTATTTCAGGTATGTAGATACCATCATGTTGACCGGTCTTGCGACAAGGAAGGTATATCTGTTCCCTCAGAGGATGTTTTCTACTATTGAGGACATCTTTAGTGCCCCAATTTCATTTCAAAATGCCACAACAAGTAGACATACTCGTGTTCGTGAAAAGTAATGTGAGCAAGAGAAGAGCAAAGTTATTCAACTCACGAGAAAGTGGAAAAGAACAGGAAAATACAAACATGATAATATATTCCTTATCCAAACTCAAATTCAATACAACTAAAGCAACATATAAACAAAAGAAAGGTTTATACGGAGCCTCCTGAAACATTACAAGAAGAATAAGAACAGGTGTTCCAGAGGAATAAACACCTTCTTCTTCATCGATGACACCTGCCATGTAAACCGTAGTCAGTCCAAGAAAGAAATGTCACGTTCTCATATATTGTTTTAATTTAGAAAACAGGAATCGTGTTTCCAAGATCATACCAGAAATGGAAAAATATAATAGTATTATAACACAAGATAACATTCTGGATGAGATTCGGAGTTATTATGAAAAATGAAAAATGATATGTCGGCCGTAATACAGAGACAGAAGACGAAGACATCAGATAATTTAGATACATTTGAGGTTCCAAAATTAAATAACACTGAGGCAGAAACATAGAAGGGATAATAACACTAGACGAGGCAGCTAGAACATTAAACATTTAAAGAACAATAAATTATAGATATAAAAAAGTCTTACTTTCCCTAACTCAAAGACAAGGTATCATCCCGTGCCTTTCAAGGGGAGATAATCCTAAAAAAATAATAACAAAACAAAAATACCTGGTTTAAACCTTAACATTGATAAGACACAAGTTATGTGGATAGGAAGTAAGAGCTACAGTAGTGATATATTTTTTTTACCTGAATGGAACTTACAATGACGAAAGGTTAGATTTACTTTACTTGGAATAGAATTTAGCGTAAGTTTGCACGAAATTCCTAAATTGAGCTTTGATAAAAAAAGGCTAATTAAACTTAAAATGTTAATTACAAATGAACTAGAAGGTTTATCATGCCTAAAGGGAAACTAGTTGTAATCAAATATCTCCTGCTGTCACAAATTAACCATTTATTGCTATATCTTACCCAGATGAACACTTTCTGCAAATTCTCAACTCAATTCTTTACATTTTTTATGGAATGGAAAGGGTGACAAAACCAAAAGGGATATCACAACTCATAATCATTATGAAGGAGGTTTAAAAATGCTTTATGTAAGGCGATTTATAGATTCGCTAAAACTGAGTTGGATACGAAAAAGACTCTATCAGAAATCGTCTAAGTGGCAACTCATTTTCGAAGCGTTCTTTGGCTTGATTAAATTACTGTTAATGATTTAATTAAAGATCATAGGGATCTCACTTTTTATTGCATTCAAGGTTTTCGTAAGATTTATAGATAATACTATTTTCATGATTGTCGTAGTGTAATTTCTGCAATTAGATTATATTTGCAGAAAGCCAATATTTGTTTGAATCAACAATCACTTGCTTTTCCATTTATTCCAATTAATGTTACATTTTAATAAACATGACCAAAGGACCAAAGTATAATCTTTTTGTTAAAAAAAACTATTGTTTCGACAGGTAGAAGTAAGTGGGAAAAGACTTTTTAAGATGATAAATTGAATTGGGTTGCCATTTTAGCGCTCCTTTTAGAGTAAAGAGAATTTCAAAACCACAACGGTACAGTATATGATAATACAACACATTCTAACAACAAATACATTTTTATTTAAAACAGGTTTAGCTAATAGTCCATTTTGTAATCTCTGCAATTCAAAACGAGTCCCATGAAACCCAAATTTTTGCACAGATTAGAAATACTTTTTGATGCAAGCATGGTCCCATATTCTTTTAATAAACAGAGTTTGATTTTTAAATAGTTGTAAACAATGGGACTGTAACTGGAAATAAGACAGATAATGTCATTCTAATCATTATTAACTGCTATATATGTTATCATTAAAAACTTTATTTATTTTACAATAATTGCGAAACAAGTTATTTTAACTCATACTGATCACTCTTGTTGGCCCGCATGTAAGCGCGAGAGGGGTCTTATTGTGGGAGGAAAACGGAGTATCCGGGGAAAACGGGCAGGTGACCCTTACCTTTTCACGTCCGTTCCAGGAGTCGAAACCCGGACGGCTAGGTAAAAGGCGAGTGCGTTATCACATATCAAAGAATAGCGTCGGTTAAACAGAGTTAAGTGCCCTTAGTTTACATTCTCGACACCGATTCGGGGATTTCTCTGGAAGTTTTTGACGATTTTTCATCACTTATTTGATAATTACGCATTCAACATTTACTGTATATGCTAATACGCTTGGTTTGTGACTATGTTATATTACGAGAATACGCTGAATTCAATAGAACAGCAAATAGATACAGATACATACCGTATTTCAACAGCTGAATATCACAAGTTTGACCTTATTCTAAGGGAGATACCAAAGACGTGCCCCTACCGCCAATGCTTAAAATAGTCTATTGCAGTTGGATTTCAACCAATCAGCTAGTACGCTGATTGAAATAGCAAATGGAATCCTCTTCAATCAGCCAATCACAAAGAGGGTTACAAACAATCAATTTCAAATGCGTATTTTCCAACTTCTTGAACAAGCTGATAGGACCGGTGTGTACACCAGCAACCGCTACGGTTCATAACTTTATAAAAAAATCGAAGTTAAATGGTGAGAATTTAGGTACAAGCAGGAACATGTGACTGCTTACGCATATGAT